GGAAATTTTCTGAGTTTTCTTAAATCCAGGTGCTCTCTCTCTCCACATGCACACACATGCACACACACACCAGCACACCATGCTTCCATTAACCCACCACACCCACAGCTACACATTTGACAGGATCTGGATAATCCTTACAAAAGCTTCAACAATGTTGATCGTAGCATCAGAGACTTGTTTCATCTAGAAGAGGATTGTGAGTTCAGACGTGGCCTGTAGGAACGCTGCTCCGTCTGGAGCAAATGGTTTTCCAGTGAACAAAAAGTGACAAATGACTGGGACTGGAAATGTACTCCTAGTCTTATGTTCAAGTGAGTAAAGGTAAACTGTCTTTGTGTAGGCCTACCCAAGATTTTAATGGAGCTTTGTTATATTGGGATCATTCTAAACTTTCATTCACAAAACTTTGAAAGAAAAGCAAATGATGTCCATTTTATTTTGCAGCCCAGTTCTGCCCTCTACAGTGACCTCAACCTTTACTGGCACTCTGGTCAATATGTGCAGGAAACCCTCACACTACTTTTTTTATTGCAGAAGCATGACCTTAACATGAAAAATTTTAGAAAAATCATACTTGTGATTTGAGTACATTTATGAGGCGGGACAAAAATACCACGTTAAGAACATGTATTTTTCAACAATAAGTTAAACTAAAGCATTCTTCCCATGCCACACTTCAAGATGGGAAAGATGAGGACAGATCACTCCTGCTGCTTCCAACTCAACAAAATGCAGGAACTTAAATAATGTCTGGATCACTGGCTCTCCCAGACATTGTTCATATAGAGGTGACCAGGACAGTAAATATTTTAGTGTGGCACAAATAGAGTTAAAAAAAATGAATGAATGAAAAATATTTTAAAGAATTTAACTTCTATATAAATTATGGATTTACTTATTATTTACTTAATTATTAATCATTTTCTTCAGTCAAGAAGAAAATGACTGTTGTATGAACTAAATTTGATTTTCTGAAGGAGACAAAAAATCAAATTCAGTTCATAGACTTCTAAAGTTTTGGAATGAAATAAATTCAGTGCAGTCATGAAAAAAGCACATAAAATAGTCTCCCTGGTCTTCATGTAGAAAGGTAATACAAAACAAGGAAATAAATATGTTTGATTTTTTTTTAATACTGTGTCTTTCTGATGCTACTCCGTCCATCTGGCCCATATCAGAAACCAGCGGAAGAAACAAACCATTCATCGCCCCAATTATCAGGACATTTGTGTCTCAGCGCATGGAAACTTCTGACCGGAACTGCACCAGCTCACCTGAGGCACCAGATTTGTTATCACACCGGCGGCCGCACGCTGTCGCGGGCGCGGTCGACCGGGGTGGTCGTGCACGTGAACGCGCCTGTTCCACCTGGCCCAATCACGTTACGAGGAAGCTCAGAACACCGCCGCGGTCTGGTCTGCGCCTCTGCTGCGCAGTCTGTCTGCGCTGCGGCTCGGCCAGGATCCCAGCGGACGCTCACCTGAGCTCCACATCTATCTGACATCCAGACGCATTTCTCCTCGGAAAGCTGCCTCCTTCTAACTCCAAAGGGTGCCGGAGCGGAGGACGAGTCCCAGCGGAGCTCTCTCTAGTTCTGTCCGGTAAGTGAGGCGGGACAGGACCGCCGCATCATGCTGTGCGTGGATGTGCGGTCTGGAATGAACTCTGTCGTGGAAAGTCACCGTATCGTGACAAGCACATCTAAGAACAGGGGCAGTTTATCTCTGTACACCTGTTTGTCTGTTTGTTTAAAGCGACATATGATGTGTCCTGCAATGCAGTCCAGATCCAAAAATGACATCACTCCAGCAGTAACCTTGATTCTGGTGTCTTAAGCCTGTCCGCTACTGAAACATAGAACAAATATTCACCTGATGTGTTTATTTTAGACAGAACAGGATTTAGATCAGGTTCTGTTAAAATCTCAGTTTGGATGTTAACGTGCTGCAGCACTGAACAAATCTGAATGAAAATATTGTACCTGTATTACAACAGTTAAGAAATCATTTTAATTATATCTGTCATGCAGGACGTTTCCTGTTTATTAATACAGGAAACCTCTCAGTATGGTTTAAAATCTTCCTGTATCTAAACTAGTGAATGTTTTTCAGAAGAAAAAAAAATCAATCAGATGTGAATTTTTAAAATATTTCATAAAGTTTTCTGCTTTATCGCTCCACAGAAATGCAGCTGAAATGATCTGCTGAATATATGGGTTACAAGTTGGGATAAACTAAGGTCAAAGTTCACTTCCAACAACTGTGTTTTACATATTTTAAATATTTTTTGTTTGTTTGTTGTTTTTTGTGCAAAAATTACACTTTTTTCCACATTACAACCAAACAATGCAATGTATACTTTACAACTGACAAACTTGAAGTGGTGCCTAATTGTGAAGTGGGAGGAACATTTTTGATTGCTTTAAATTTATTTTCAATTAAAAATCAGAAGAAATTCATACGTGTTTATAGTCATCCCAACTTCACTCTAATACACATAAATACAGTCCAGGGAATCCGATTGCATTCAGCAGTTATTCAATCACAAAGTAAGAATCCACTTGTGTGTAATTTCGTCTGGTAACCATGGCGATGGTAGGATCACCCTCTGCAGAGGCAAGGAACCTGGCCAGAGTTAATATGCATTCAGACCCTGAGACAATACTTTGGACATCCAACTTTTACTGCTGTCAGGCATCTTGTCTCCACCAGTTTTACACATTAACTCTTGCAGAGTGACTGGAGCTCAGTCAGACTTTATGGAGAGCAAGTTTAAGTTATCCACAGTTTCTCATCTGAACTTTGATTAGGCCTTTCTAACACATCAACATCCTTTGCTTTAAACCATTTCATTTTAGTTCTGTGTCTGTTTTCCGGTTGTTCTTCTGCTCGAAGGTGAACCTCCGTCCTGCATTAGGTCTTTTGCAGCCTGTATGAGTTTTATTTTGTTCTTTATATAGATTCCCTTCAACTCTGACCATGTCCCTCATGTAGAAAACGCCCTATATAGCATGATGCTCCCACTACAAGGTTTTGCTTATCAGATTGTACACACGTTTTATTTTTTTCTTTAAGAAAAAAAAAAACAACAACTTTTCCCAGTTTGAGGTGACAATGTGACAAAATTTGAAAAAGTTCAAGAGACCTAAATATTTTTTCGACACACTGACATGTGGTAGGTTAGATGGCATGGTATCGCCTTGTTGCTAAGGCGCCACTAGCAAATCCTTCCTCTTTTTTCTCCATGTTTGATTTTATAAACCTGCTCCCATTCCCTTTTGTCCTCTGCCTCACACCACAGCCGTCTTGGCGTTTTTTTTTGTTTTTTTTTTCCTACACTTTTATTCATGCATAAATGATTTATGGTCCAGCACATTCAAGTGTTTGGAACAATACCCATGTGTGAAAAACAAAAACAAAAAAAGTCAGTAGGGCTGTTTGCTGGATTAGGTGAGAGAGGAGCATGGCGACACCCCCTCTGGTTGCTGTGGAGGCCGAGAGTAACACAGAAAACTCACTTCTCTGACGTCACAGCAAGGAGGACGCTGAGGGGACCTGATTTATCTTTGTGGGAGCAGCGAGCTGCTGGCAACTCGGCTGAACTGATCATTCTTTGTTGTCTGAAAAACGTAACCTTTCCTTCAAAGTCAAATTTCAATTTGTGGTCATGGAAAGCAGGAGAGGCAGAAAAATAGTGGAGGAAAAGATGAATGATCCTGTTTGATTTATTGCTCCAAAGTAAAAGATCAAAGTATCGACAAACACCAAACTAAATTGTGTTTTAGATCATGTCTTTTCTACGCATGTGGCAAAAGTCTTTCTCATGGTCTGTGTTGAAGTTTGAAACGACTGGATCTGATTTCACTCAATCGCTTCAGGGACGATCAAGTCAAGTCTATTTAGCAACAGGGCCATTATAACTGCTTTACATCATACAACCATCAAACTGTCACCAATTATGGAACAAGCAAAAAACATTATGTTTTGTAAGATGCCATCACTAAAATCATCAAGCACATACACATTAAATATGTTGATGAATGTTTCATTTAAAAGCAACTCTAAACAAGTGGGTTTATAGAATTGTTTTAGTGTTTTGGCTGTTTTGCAGTTTTCTGGAAGTTTGTTCCAGATTTGTGGTTCACAGAAGGTGAATGCTGATTCTCCTCATTTGGTTCTACATAGTTCTGGGGATGAAGAGCAGAATCAGAACCAGAAGACCTGAGAGGTTCTGGAAGGTTGATACAACAGCAGCAGGTCTTTAATGCATTGTGATGCTAAGCCGTTCAGTGGGTTATAGACTAACAGTATTTTAAAGTCTCTTCTCTCAGTGGAAGGACATTAGAACTGGAAGGTTGACTTTTGAGCCAGTAATCAATGCCACTAGACATAAACGCATGAATTTTGCTAGATCTTATACACTAGTACTTTAATCCTGGAACTATTCCTCAGGTGATAGAAGGCCGACTCAGTGAGCATCTGATTCATTGGTGGATCTCTTAAGGAAGTAGGAGCAAACTGCACCAAAAGTGGCAAAAAACCCCAGTCCCGTTTATTTATGAAGTTCTGTTTCCCGTGTTTAGGAAGTGAGCTAAAAATGAGTTGAAAAGCAGCGAAAGTCCAAGAAAAATTCTTCAGTCTTCCAGAAGGAATTATCATTTTGACCATTTTTATAAGAAAAAGTTGAATATTTTTAAGCATACAAAAGCCAGGGTGTGTGAGTGTGAGCCTCATGCTTCTCAGGTGTTAAAGCACTCTTGGATAAACATGATTCCCCAGCGTCATATAAACATGTTTGCTTTCTGTCCTCGTTACCCTGCAGTTGTCTCCATAACGACCTGAACAGCTGCTTTGTAGGTTTTGTCACCTCAACCTGCGTCTCATTCACCAAGTTGTCAAAGCTAGTTTTAAGAACTCGTGTTGTTGTTGTGCTCATATTATGTGATTAATCAGTGAGCTGCTGTGGCAGACTTGGCTCTGCAGCTGTGAAACCAAGAGGTGGGTTTGCCTAAAGCTGCTGTTGGCAGCCGGCTTGGATTGCTGAAGCAACAATTGGGCCCCAGAGCCAGAGGAGGGGACCGGCGCAGCGGTTTGCTTCAGGCCAGACACTGATCACCGCTCAACAAAAGACCAAAAAGTGGAAGGATTGGAAACTGTGCCTGTGATCTGCAGCTCCGCGGCCCGAATGGCCGCCTCATCAGTACATGTCTGCAGTAGGTTTTGTTTTCTTGCTGTATATTTCATTAGGTGATTCAATGCTTGTTCGGTGACACCATGGGTGCTGCGGTTCTGGAACATGCCCTCTTAGGATACCTGCACCGCTGCCTCTGTGGTCAGGTGGGACTTTCCAGCACAGGATGGATTTACTGTTTTGGGACAGTTTTAAATACTTTGATATACAGTGACCTCAAAGCACATCAGAACTGAACTTTCATTAATAGACACTAAACTGATGTATTAGTTGGTAAATTTGTAACTGAAGCTGATTTGGACTCTAAGTACATGAATCTGGAGCCGACAGTCGGGTCCAGATTCATGTACTTAGATGAGTTCTGTTTGTCAGAGTTCTACTTGTTTTTTATCTTTCAGTCATTGATGGAAATTTGTGCCAATATCAATATCTGATATTAAGATTGCAGTTAGTTACACTCCCCAGTCTTTTGCTGCATTGCTGTTACTGCCACATCAATGACCAACTTTCTCTCCTCCCCTCCTGAAACTAACGGCAACAAGATGGAAGATGAAGATATTGGCTCATTTTTATTTATTGGCTGATACTGATATGTGAAAAAATGACTAATATCAGCTGATACCACTATCAATGCTAGTGTATAGCTATCTCTGCAGGGTGTCACCGACAGATATCTGCAAGGTCATATTTATATGCCAGGGGAAAAGGAAGTCATGGATTCCTGATGAAAAGTTAGAAAAAAGTTTGAAGACTCTCTTCAAAGTTTTGTTGTCTTATTAAACAGTCTATCTTATCTTTCTGTGCATATCAAGGATGTCAATCAGTTATCACAGCAATATTGCAGTAAATACACTTTTACATAATAAATCCACAGCCTGTCAGTATCAGTGGTCAGGAGTGATAACGGTTAATTTAGGATTCATTGATTTTGTTTTACTCTACTTCCATTTGTCACTTTTTATCTGTATGTGCGTGAATATAAACATACACAAACAGACTTTCAGCTCAACTCTCCCTTTTATATGGCAGGGATATAAAACTCAAACTGACAGGTTGGGTTTATGCTTCGCACGAGGAAGACGAGTAGAGAAGGAAAGACTTGTATTTTGTTTCTGCATGTCTTTTTCAAAAGTTTAAAGTGTTGGTAGAGGCATACACCTTCTGATCGCCGGTCCTGTTCACATATAGACTATATAGCACCAAATTACCTGCTGCTAACTTACAGCTTTTTAATGAGGGAGGTGTTTTTTCTTCTGGCTGAGTTAGTTATTAGGAGGATTAGCTTGGATTCCTTGTTTGCTGGAGATTTGCGCCGCTTTTAGGGTTTGTTATGTGACGATGGGATACAATGCCACGTTAAGTTGCAGGTCAGCTGACAGGCTGCAGGTGTAGTGGTTAGTCACAGAAGCCTGAGCTGAATCTGTATGAAGCCTGCTCACACAGTAATTGATAGAGCTGCAAACTGGCAGCTTTAATCTTCAGAATGTGAAAAACTCATTGCAGACGCAGGCTGTTATTAACAGATTTGTACTAAGCTTGGAGAGGGGGCAGGTGGTACTGTATGACTGCTGCTGTAGTCGCTTTATGTTGCATGTCTTACTCTACAGGTGTTACGGATAAAGTTAGCACAGTAACCATACAATTTAGATGAATGTGCAGCGATGGATTCATATTGCAATCATAATCATTTCTAATTCAGAAGCAGAGCTTTGGAGCTGATGTAACATGTAGAATGATAGAAATAGAATGTTTTTTTACCACATCATCTTTTCTGATCCCACAGCTGAGAGATTCACAGAGGAAACACTAAATTTCCATTCAGTCATCCATCCGTCCGTCCGTCCGTCCGTCCGTCCGTCCGTCCATCCATCCATCCATCCATCCACTCACTCATCCACTCATCTACTTTAGCCTGGTCTAGTGTTGGGTCACAGAGGCTGCAGTCTAAGCAGAGGCCCATCCTTCTCTCTCTCCAGCCACTTGTTCCAGCTCCTCTGCGGTAATTCGAAGGCATTACCATGTCAATCAAAAAACATATTCCCTCAAGCATGTCCTGGGTCTTCCTCTGCGTCTCTTCCCTGACCCTATCCTGAAACACCTAAGCAGGAAGCATCCAGGATCCATCCTGACCAGATGCCAGAGATACCATAACTGATTCCTCTTAATGTGGAGAAGCAGTGGCTCTAATCTGGAGAGGAAATCCATCTTGCATAAGTTTTTTCTCTCAACACCCAGAGTACTCAACAATAAATCAGGATGGAAGCACGGAACCAAATTTCAAATCAAGAGTCTGGCCTTTCAGCTCAGCTCTCTCTTCACCACGACAGACCGATGCAGTTCTTTCATTGGTTGTTACAAAGCAAAATATCTCTAGCTAAATGTTCCTGGTGGATTACTCAAGCAAATAAATGAACAGCACCACTTTTGCTGGTTTTCATTGTGAAGATTAAAAATATATACTTTCGTCAAATTTGTTTTATTTTATTGAGTTTTGGAATATTTCAAAGAGGAAAAAGAATAAAGTAGGACAGGGTGTAAGGGGCATTGTGGTATGTGGCACTTTTCTTTAACAGATAAACTTGTGTTTAGCAGTACTGTAGTCTGAGCTGCACATGGTTTGAGGTACCATGCTGTACCTTGGCCTTATTAGCCATTCATGCCTTATTTCCTAGACAAATAGTGACCTTTTTACACAATCTCCTTAAAGGAGATTTTGCAGATTTGAGACCGGGTGGGGCACAGTGCATGTTTTGTGTGGACCACATTAATCCTTCCTGAGTAACCTATTGTGTCAATCAAAACAGTTTGTTTCTGTACGAGCAGTGAGACAGAAGCCCCAAGTTTCAGATTTTTTCACTGACCAAACTTAGTATTTGAAAATTTAAAATACAAATTTAAATATGCTGAACAATTTCCATATCATAATGCAAAAGTTGTTGCACATAATCTTCCCAAAAAGGAATTTCACATAGTTAATCTTTAATTAGCAAATAATGTTTCTTGAAATGGCAGTCTTGATACAATTAAAATCATGTCTCGGGGAGTTGTCAAAGTGGAAAAACACAATTCCACATTGGTCAACATGAATCAATTTAACATCAACTGTATATACAAATGCTTTTATCTTTCAGTTTCTGCTTTCAAGAGAAACAGGAAGTTAAATTAGAAGGAGGCAAGAAGGGGACTGGTCAAAATTCAGCCAAGTTATGGTGATTGGTCAGAAAAGAATGAAATACAGAAAATGTTGAGGTGATTGATCAGATTTGCAGAAAATTGCAAGTCTGTGGAAAATTTGTGAATTATGAGAAGAACATGCATTGATAAGTGTGATTTTGTGTTGCCACTTCCTGGAGGGATTGAGGATCCATCCAGTCTAACTGAACTGAACTGTTTTGTAGAACAGAATAGGAAAATGTTTCCTATAATTTTCATTTTATTATGCACCACTGTGTGTTGGTCTATCACTTCAAATCCAAATGAAACACATTGATACATTACAGCTTATGGCTACAATATGACAAAAAGAGCCATGGTTACTCTTCCAAGACGATGTAAACACTACTTTTGTTCAGCAAAATCTACATATCCATTAGACAGTTATGCATGTCATTGAGTTTGATCCCTTTCAGTGTGTGATGTGACCATGGCTTGCTCATGTAATTTGCCTTTGGGTTGCTAAGGGACTCTGTTTAGGACAGTTGGGTAAGAAGAGAGAAAGAGGTGATTCATGGTGAAATGAATAATTCACTTGATCGGGGCCTGCCTTAGTTTACCCAGAAAGTGCAGACACAACGGTGAAACAGCTCAGGTCTTTGGAAGTATTAGAGAAATCCAGGATTTCCGGCGTAAAAGGTCCCCTTGTGCTCTGTTTTTTCCACTGACACGGCTTTCTGGATGGCTTATCAATAATAAAAAAAATGTGATAAACATCCTGCGGATAAAGATATTTTTGATGTCTTGGTTCATTTTGTATATTTAACACAAACAGTGAGAAGATGTTTGATGTTGAAGGAGGACAACATAGGGAATGAAGCTGCATACATCATGGATCATCCTGCAGTCACATGCTCTGGTTCCACTGCTCAGCTCACCACTGCTGTTTGTGTTCCCTGTGTGTGTTCTGTGGCAGCTCTTTTGTCTTTGGTATCTGGGCAATAGTAACCTGGCTAGTGTGTGTTTGAGCTGCTGTTGTGTGCTGTTTCAACAACAGGGTGTGTGTTTGCTCTGTCGTGAGCGACATGAAATCAGGAAGATAAGTCAATGTTGCAGCAAATGTTCCCAAATGATGTCCTTCTCAGATTGTCCAAGAACTCTCAGAAAAACGGCAGAAATAAAATGGTGTTACTTGGTTTGACTTTAAACATGTACATGCATTTTTTTTATGTTCAACATGATATTAATACGAGAGGTTTGCATTCCAACTTTTCGAAGAGGTTCACAGATGAATCTTGGTATCAGTAATTGGCTGATACATGTGAAGCCGATCTTTTCCCCCGATCTTACCTACCTCAGCAAAGGCCTAAAGGTCAGCCACTGTCCTCTTATACTCTGCTATGAGAGGTTTGGCTGATACACCGGCTCTCCAGGTCACATTTGGACATTTGCAATTAATAATAGTCACCCCAATGTTGCCAACTCACTTTCTTGCTATATTTAGCGACATTTTACACAAACAATTTAGTATTGGCCAAAATCAGCAGGTTTGGCTTTATAAAGATTGGTAATTGGCAATTGGTCAGAAAACTGCAATTGGTGCACCCTTAGTGTTATGGATCTTGGTAGCCAACATGAGCAGATGACAGAAGGTTATGGTTACATTTGATCTCATAGTTATAATTATTCTGAATTACAGTTGATTTAAAAGCTTTGTGGATCAGCTTATAAACAGAAAGTGTACTATTGCGACTGGCTGGCGCTAACCCTGCATATCAGTTGTAGGATTAGAGTATCCCCTCCTGTACAACTTGTATAATGAGTCTTGCTTGGTTTTACTGCTGTGGAGCTGTTACTAACTACATCTGAGTTTCATTATCTTCAGGTATAGTAACGATACTTGAAGAGGTTGATATCACATTCCAAGAAGGATTTCAAATTGGACTTTTTAAATTAGTCAAATGTTTGTAACTATGACTTATCAGAACAACTAACTGCCACTGCAGCACTGGAAACGTTTGGATCAAGGTGGTCAGACCCAAGCTTCCTCAACAGCAACAACGTCTTGCTGAGTGTTACGCAATATGCTTTCTGCTAATGAGCATTGCCATGGTAATGATGATGAAGTGACAGCGACCAAATCCCCTGTGAACGTGGCTCTTTGCCCCCTGGGTGTGAGTTAAAGCCCTGTGGTCTGCAGAGACCTGCTGACCCCCCCAGGAAATCAGAGTAGAAATCAGCAACAAGGGTTTATTGGTGCTGGTGACTCGACCTTAGTTATTTGCACATCTGGGAGTTTGAGTGGAAGTATGTTTGTTTTGGACTTGGTAGTGGTGGTGACAGCTTCTTCCGGTTAAATTCATTTTCAGCTAAAAGGGAAAAGTCTGTCATAAAACAAACAGAGGCAACAACTGATGTTTCTGTTTTTATACTGATGGACTCTGGAATTCATTACAACTTATTTGGTGCTTCACGTTATATACACAAGGGTTGTGAAGTTTAGAAGAAAAGAAATATATTCCTCTAAAGACGTTGTCAGACTTTTTAGCTTCCACTCTAGAAAACGGAACAGCAGACAGTTTTCATTGTTCAATGCCTTACGCAAGTGCTATCATATCTATTCATATACACAAATACATTTCATGTAGATGTTTAAATCTGTTTCTTATTGCAGGAGCAAATGTATTCTTCTGTGATTTTATTGTTTTGTCTTATTTAATAGAAATACTGCAATTCTGCAATTGTATTTTTTAGACCAATGGTGCCCAAAGTCGGCCCTCGAGGGCCGGAATCCTGCATGGTTTAGTTCTCTCCCACCTGGTGGTAGTAACAACCTTTCCAGCATGTCATTGTTCTTCTTCGACCTTCTGATGAGACATCATTTGATCCAGGTTTGTTAAACCAGGGAGAGAAGTGAAACATGTAGGATGTCAGCCCTCGAGGACCGACTTTGGGCACCACTGTTTTAAACATGGTAAGTAAATAGTAAAATACAGATAAAGATTTGTGCACATTTGTAATGGAAACGCAACAAGTGAGGGGTTGTGGCTGTCTTTGCGGAGGTGTGGGGGGTGACTCTGCATGAGGTCAGATGTTCTCTCAGTCTCATAAATGAAACATGAGTGACATTGTGGTCCGGCTCTTTGAACAGCGGACTGATGCTGGCAACACGAGCAGGTTAGTGACGTATGCTTTATTAATTAGTAACTAGCTCTGGGTATCAGGTGGACAGCATTGGAAACCGGTGGGAAAATTACCAGTAAACTCTGGAAGCAGAGAAATTCACCAGAAAGTAACTGTTTGAATAGTGTACTAACATAATGTTTGAAATAAATATAGAATGTTTTGTATGGGATTTTAAAGGAGTCTTTGGGTGAGGGTGAGTGATCCCACTGCCACTGAGAGTCACAGCTGATTTAATAAAGATGAGACCAGCAGACGCAAGTTATTGCAGCTGGAAGTGAAAAGAGAAAACTGCACTTTACTTCTCCAACAATCTGTATGAAGTTACAGATTAAATACTTCTAAAAGTGCACTTTTAGAAGTACAATAAAGCACTTTTTATTTTTACTTGAGAAATTTTATTATGAACTATGCCTCCTTTACATGAGTAAAAATTCTGGAGTTTCTACCCACTGAAAGAAAAACAAACATGTTTTAACCAAAAATTCAGCAGACAAAGACACACACTTGTAGTTTTTGTGTAAGTTTCAGAAGTTTAATGTTGAAAGGAATTGATGTGGAAACATTTGCCTATGTCCGATTTTGTTATTTTGGTTGCTTTTATCAATTATTGTCATTTTGGTCCATAAAATACAAAATTTTTCACCTATATTTTGGTCCGTCAGATGATGCCATTTTAAATATTAAATGACTGATCATTTAATCAATTACTCAGTACTTGAATAGACTTTTTACCAAATGCTGTTTTACTCTTAGTTGAGTAATTTTTTTGTTGTCTGCTTTTACTTGAGTAAAAACAATTTTTAGTGCTACATGTCCAGCGAGTGTAAATTTAACTCTTTGGAGAGTTGTTTCTTTAACACTAATTAAGTGTCATAATTGCATGTCAGCATTTCACAATCTGAAAATTGTTTTGGCTATTTAAGTTAGGTAAAAAGTTTGACTAAATGTTGACCTGCTTGCTATAGTTTTGCACGCTACAGTTTTGGCATGCTAAACCAGATTTAAATGCCATCAGATTTTAATGCCACGGAGCAATGTGGCTAATGCTTATCACACAGGTTGGTCTCAACTCAAAATAATATTAAAATAAACCATCTCAGAAAAATCTACTTACATAGCGTTGCAAACAGATGTGGAAATTAAATTTTCCTTAAAGTTCACTTCAGTCGCTTCGCTTTGGTCAGACCTTGTGGTGCTGGGCGTGGAGTCAGTGAATTAACTCTTCTGGTTGTAACCACTGCAGGAGCTCAGAGTTGAGAAGTCAAGAGTTATTGTTTCCATTGTTTCCATTGTTTTTTTTTCTGAGTATTCCCTGAATTTCAAGCACCCATCTTCCCCTTTTATTTCTTCAAAATTTCAGACTGTTTCATGGCTTGCATGACTTCCTTTGGGTAATCTCGTTGTGTCTTTGTTGCTCCTGCAGCTCCATGGCCGTTGCTGCCCTCTGCCCCCCCCGCCCTGGGAGTCTCTGTCGGACTGCTCTGCTCAGCGTGACGGAGGACCACCAGCGGGATGAAGATGGATCCAACTGGATTTGTGTTTTCTCTTCTGTGTGACTAGTTGAAGGGACTCCCACCTTCATTCATCAGACTGCAGAGCAAACAGATGCAGAAGTAAACATCAACAGCTTATTTAAACCGACTTTCTCAGCAAAGATCTTGCTGAGTGTTGACTCTTTTTGTTCTGGTTATGAGTTGTTCATCTCCAACCAATGAGCCAGAGAGCTGCAGCAGCGAGGAGAGCAGCTGCACCACCTCCTCCATTACTACCTCTGACCCGTCCTCTATGTCTGGACAGACTGACCCCCTAAATGAGGCCCAACATAAAGCTCCCCCGCCGCCTCCCCTCCCTCCCCCACCTCCTCCCCCTCTGGCAACGACGCCCGCCAACCACAACCCAAGGAAAAAGCGCCGTGTGCGCAGCTTCTTCTGGAAGCCCATCCCAGAGGAGAAGGTACGGGGGAAGCCGAACATCTGGACTCTGGCGGTGCGGCAGCAGCAGTACCAAATCGACGTTCGCTCTGTTGAGGAGCTGTTCGGGCAGCAGGAAGACACAGCCTTTTTACGAGGCACAACGGCAACAACTGGAACCTCGACTCGTATATCGAGGTCCCGCTCCTTTAAGGACAACAGCAGGAATGAGGCGAGTGCAGAAAAAACAGCTCAGAGTTATTACAACACAATAAACTCACAGTGAAGTATTAATACAAATTAAGCTTTTAACACATTTATTCAGTGTGTAAAAATATGTCAGATTTAGAAGTAATTTTAAAAAATAAATTAAAAAAACGCTACTCATGGAAGCATTGGCCAATCACTGATTTCCCAAAATTAAAAAAATCGGGCCGATTTATTGGCTGGGTGATTTATCGGCTGGGTGATTTATCGGTGCACCACTAATCGGGACCCAGGACTCTAATCAATCTGAAGAGATTGACTAGAGAATCTAATTTTGTGACCCAGTGGAAATGGTTTGTGCTGTGGTGTTGTGTGACACTTAAAACACAGGCATGCATTGCAGATGGGTCTTTGTTTTTCTGCTATATTTAAATCATATTCTATTCTTTTTCCGGTTTTAGGTCAGCATCCTTGACTCCAAAAGAGGAATGAATGTGGGCATTTTCCTCAAGCAATTTAAGAAGTAAGTTAGTTGTAAATTTGAAAGACCAGATTGGACTGTGTCCATAAGACACACAGTTGATTTTTTTTTTCTTGCTGTAAATGCCAAACATTGGTTATTTTATACTGTTTTGCTGATGTCCACAGTATACTGTTATAGTGTTTATAGTTGTTTTATGTTCTAATTAGTGATGGTTGTAGTTCGACCCAGAAGCAGACTCAGTTGAAGTTTATTAAATTTACATGTTATTAAAAGTAAATCCTTAGTGCCAATGTTGAAGGCAAAAGAACCCCAAAGGTCAGCGTATTAGCTGGTCAAGCGATTAGAGGTGCAAGAACCAAGAAGTCTGTCACTGATGGAAGGCTGGGAGCAGATACTGAAGTGATGGATGGAAAACCTCAGAGGTTGGCAACGAAAGAGCTTCATTTTTCATGTCATTAGACTGCTAACCTCCCATTATTAATTTTATTTTAGTTATTTATATTGATACTTTTTATTACTGCTTATTAATGATGCATCAGTGGTAGGAGTTTACCCTGCAATCAGTGAAGCGCCGGTTTGATTCCTGGTCTGTCCACCCCTTGGCGTTTGTGTCCTTCGCCTCGCATCGGCTGACAGGAGTGACAGCGCAAAATTTGTAGCCTCTTTCCTGTCAGCTTCATTTTACTTCATAAATGTTCTCTATTTCTCTATATGATATATGCCAGCATATATAATATGTATATAAGTGTAAAAAACACTTTAGAACACAGCAATTTACATAGAAATTTGCCAGATTCAGAACTGACTGAGTTTTCAACAAATTACTGAATCAATAAATTAAACATGCTCACAAGTACATGTTCGCGTGTTGCAGATGTGAATAAATTTGGGGATTAAAATTCCCAAGTTTTACATGATAACGATCATGAGTAAACAGAACACATTCATTCAAATGACGCAAAAGGTCTTATAACGTGAAACATTTGATTATCTGTCTATGACATTTTCTGAACTACTAAACTTTATTTGAAGGCTCAGTGATAATGTTATAAAAGTTGGAAAAATCTAAATAAACCCACTGTTGTTTAGCATTATAGTCGTTTTTGTTGACAGACCAATTAAAAAAAATAGAACTAGGAAAATTTAAAAGGGTAGGTGTAGAGGTGTTATGAATTCAAATTAGAGAAAAATTAGGGAAAAATCCATACTTCCTGATTACTTCTTATCATTACATCTATATTTGTAAATGCAACGTAGTCAGTAAAACTACAATAAAGCATTTATTTGTCATCATATCCTCTCGTTTTAATTCATCTGCTGCCTTTTAATGAAAATGCACTCCGAAAAATAAAACTCAGCATATTTTTATTTAAGTTCTTTGACTTGTGAGAAACATGTCTGAAACCATTTCTTAGCATACTCTCAGTTTTAGGTTTAGCTTAATTCCTCACTGTGCTAAAGCTTGAATCAATATGATGGATGTGGTTTGAGCGAGAATATTTGGCAGCTAACCCCTTGTCCAGTGAGTAGGTAACATTTTTTAAACTAATCTCGAAACGAGTCCAACCGTTCTGAAACAGATAGTCGCAGTAGAGTTCAAAAAGGGTTTCCATGACAACAGATTTGCATAGCTCTCCAATAAATTTGAATGACATTTGACTGACCTCACTGCAGCAGTGTTTATTTCTGTTTGGGACTTTTTTTATTTTTTGTCAGCTGCAATTTATTATTGCTCAGTCTAATGCATTACATAAGGCCAGATCCTTATATAATCCAAAGCTAATTTCACTCAGTTTATTCATTAGTGCTCATTGCTGTTAAAATTTAATTACAAATAGAAATAAAAACAAAAAATATAATTTGGATGTATTTTGTGGTTCTATTTTTTTTTATTTGTTACATTAACTTCATCCAATTTTGACTGTTCCTGTTTTTCTGGTATATATTCTGTATTGTCTCAAAAATCAGGGTGGTCTTTTTTCTGTGGAAACAGAAGAGAACTGTAAGCGCTAAATCTGGCAGAAAAGAGATGACAGAAGAAGGTCTTTGGTCAGAGACGGTTGATCAAAAAGCAAAAATGTTAATGATTGCTAATACAGAAATGGAAGCCACTTCACACTTAAAATTTGACATATTTGGAAAATACAGGAACTACTTATCACCTGCTAATCATCCTGACTGTGGGGTATAGTGGTGGCAACATCATACTATGGGCAGGGGTCCACTATATCAGAAAATCCTTCTATGGTGATAATACTGATAAACAATATGATGAGCAAAATCATTGAAAAAGCGATGTTTAAACTGTTAAATAATTTCTTAATAATAACTAACTGCTTTGATGTCTTTCAGTCTGGTTTCCAGGTTCACCACACTACTGAGACTGGCCTAGTCAAAGTGTTTAATAACATCAATACAAACACAGACTGTGGAAGAACCACAGTGTTGGTTCTGTTGGACCTCAGTGCAGCATTTGACACTGTTGATCATGACATATTACTGAAACAGCTAGCGAGTTGTGTCAGACTCTCCGGTCCTGTTTTCAACTGGTTTGAATCTTACATATAGAACAGAGATTTCTTTGTTTGAAAAGGAAACTTCTCATCGAAGTGGACAGAAGTCACATGCGGGGTACCACAAGGTTTGATCCTGGGACCCCTTTCATTCAATATTTATATGCTCTCACTAACAGGAAATAAGATTAGTTACCATAAGTACGGAGCTCTACATTATGATGTCACCAGGAGACTCACAACCCAACCAGTCACTGAATAAATACTTCAGATAAATGTGTGGATGTATCAAAACGTTCTCCAGCTGAACAGAAACAAAACTGAAGTTATTATCTTTGGACATAAAGAGGAACGATCTAGAGTCAATGCACAGCTTCAGTTATCACAGCTAGAAACTAGAGATGCAAGGAAGCTCAGCCTCAGTGATTCTCTCAGCTGTCCTCACCACTTTCTCTATATGTTGCCAGTCAAAGGTGTTGCATGCTCCAAACCAGACAAATATGCTGCTGGTTAGTTTGCTCTCTATTGTCCCTCTGTAGAAAGTGGTGAGGATGGAAGGAGGGTGAGGATGGGGAGGTTTGCTCTTCTCATCCGACATAAAAAGTGCAGATGTTGCTGAGCTTTCTTCACCAGACCAGAGGATTGGAAGGACCATGTCAAAGTGTCAAACATCAATATCCCCAGGAATTAAATGTTCTTGATCCTTCTCAGCTGATTTTAAAAACAAAAAAAGTGTGGTGGAAACAGCATCCTCTGTGCAGCAGTTGGAGCCGTAGAAACTGGAGCAGATCAAAAGAGGAGGGAAGTTGTGAGATGATAAGATCTTTCACCAGCCTTTCAAAACACTTCATCATTGTGGCAGTGAGAGTAACAGGCTGTTAGTCATTCAGTGATGAAATTCTGAAATTTTTGGGCACTAGAATGATGATGGCACAAGTTTGACATCATCATGTCGATGAGAATCTCTATCTCACTGATGATGTCATAAATGTTCACAAAGATACAAGAATTCAAGAATTCTCAGTTTGCTTCTCAACTTGGTTGGAGGCAGATCGATTCCTGAGAGACGACTTCAAACTGAGTCTACAAACCATTTTAGCTGAACATCAAGTCAAGAGGATTTTGATATTTATGGATCCTTGGATTTCTTGTTACGAAGGGAGTTGAAAAGTTGCTAGGATAAAACATAAGAGGCATAAGTGGTTTAGTAGAGAACTCTGAGGACGAGAGATCAAAATACTTTGCTTTTGACACTGAAGACAAAAAGGACATGATACTGTCAAAACTACAACTATGGATTTGACAGTAAAGGCATCAAAAGACTTTGTTCCTCATGACCAAATGAACCTGGATGTGTTTGTTTGCTCACAGGTTGAGAGAGTTACCTTTACAATAACTGCTAACTCTTTACCAACACAAATATTACAAAAATGTGTATTGTTGTTGGGAAGACATGATGATGGACCTGGATGTGAAACCAAACTGTGACAAATTTTGAGGAAATTTATCAGGATTCATCATCGGAAGAATCCTCTTCAGCAGAAGAAAACTCACAAAATGAAATTCAAAATGACACAGATGATTTCAACAGTGTGGATGTTAATCTTGTGCCAAACATGTACTTTTGCAAATTTTCCAACTCATTCTTCAACTGTTGCATGAATGCCACAATACGTAGCATCATGAACTTGAGTATTACCAGAAAGTCTGTGGCTCAGTATCTGGACCTTTTACAGAGAAGCCATTGTTTGCAAGGTTTTTCTGTACAGCAATGTATCATCCAGGAAGATATTTTCTCTAGATGAAGTCTTTGCAGTTCAGAATGAAATAATTGAAACTGAAAATGAAGAAGAATGTAGTACATCAGGACAAGCCAGGAGTCTTTTTGTTTTATATGTTACACTATCTGACCCAATATGTCATTAACACAGACTGTGAGCTGTACACAGCTGACTATTGTGAACAATGTCAGAAGTCTTCATGTGTTATTTGTAACCTTGGTCCTGTCATTCACCTACCAAAGGAACAACAAGAGGACACTACAACTACTCTAAGTTGTTATATGTGTGAAAAATGTTGTGACACCTGCAACTCCAACATAAAGACAGAATACTTTTTCAAAGACACTGATATGATGACTCTGATACTCCCAGGGTCAGAGAGTACAGATGATTTAGAATATTCTGTGATTCCTGACCCAGTGCTTGAAATTTCTGTTTTTGCATTTTGAAATTTTTAAAACGTTTCTCTTTTCTTTTTCTTATGCAGTGTAGAATTTTGCTGTAATACTTTTATTAATACCAGAACGACCAGAACCAGCCAAAACAAACTTCAAAAAGCCTCAATAAAACGCCTAAAAATGAGGGGGGAAAAGAATGATTCAGGACTTTTTCATGTAACTCTGTCTGTTTGATACAATCCTTCAAACCTGCTGATGTTTTACACACTGAAAGGCAACCACATTTTCCTCTTTCACACCTTGTGTCATAGAAAGTATGAACTCATGTCTGAGACCCTTTCTATTTTTTTGTAGTGTTGTAAGCAGATATAAAGTTGCAGCAATGCAAAGGTTCTGACGTAAGACGAAGCATGACTGAAATTATTTAGTGTTCACATTCCCAGCAGAGACACATGAATCCATGTGCAGCTCAGCATGTGTTTTGTCCTGTTTAAATGTTTGCAGTTGAAGACAAACTGACGGCTAAGATAAGTGACAGGAGGATTTTCTCATTTGTTTAGAGCCCTCACACAAAATGGGTCAGTGGATAATCAGAACTAGCTTCAATTTAGTGCCTTTGTGAACACGAGGGAGGAACAGGCATTCACAGAAAGCACCTGCACAGCTTAAGTAAAATGAGATGTTTGTCTTTAAGGTCAAACCGCTCCATTGTTGAAGACATCCGATGTGGAGAGGGGAAGATTTATGGAGCTGAGCTGCTCAAAGACCTGCTGAAGCTCCTGCCTGACGCAGAGGAGGTCTGTGTGTTTGGCCTGTGGTCACGTATGAATGGCGAAAATACTCATCAAAGACATTTTGTCAAAAAAAAAACAAAAAAAACTATGGATTCTGCTCAGCTTCCTCTCGCTTTTTATCTTCTCTGCAGATCAAGAAACTGCAAACTTTTAAAGGAGACCCAGACAAGCTGACACTGGTTGATTCCTTTATGTACCTCCTGATCCAGGTGCCACGGTAAGCTGGTTTCAGTGGTGGAGCAGTGCATGCAAAGGCATTTCCATCAAAAGGGAATCTGGAGTCAGCAGTTTCTGACAGATAATACAGAGTTTATCCTGAGGTGCTGAATGGAGATGATTTCATAACCTTTCTGGGGAGTTTGCAGGAGGCTGGAAATGTTCTGCTGAATAACACAGTTCATATTGTCAACTGTCTCATTTAATTGGTAGAAAAATATGTACTTCAAACTAATACCAAAAATTTATTTTGGTATTAGTTTTCAGATTAAACTGGCAGTATAAACTTGAGGTCATGCTGAGTTGCATTTATTTTAAGCATTTTAATTAGTGAATATAGAAATGGTTTCCTAGTTGTTGCCTTTCTGTCCACTTCTGCTGTAAAAAAAAATCTCACTTCCAAAATAGTCTGGACTTTCTTCCCTTCACTTGGATTGTCTCCTGTAGATTTTCTACAGTTCGCTTTCATAACAAATAGCTGTTATGAAAGCAGACCTGTAACTATTTGAACCCAGTCTTACAGTTTAAAAGGTGATTCTGCTTAATACTGATGCTAACTTTTGATTTTAATAACCTGTTAAAACCAGACCCTTGACCTATGCTATTTGCTTCTTCACAACGGTCTGGGCTCTCAGGTATTGAGAAACCTTTGCTTCCTGGAGGCGTGGCCTATGTTGAGGTTCTAAATTTTACTAAATCTCTACCAGTTGCCTGTGACATTTGCAATGTGCCAGTTTGACACCATAAAGCTGTTTATCTGAAGTTGCAGAAAATTTCAGGTAAACAACCATCCTCCACTGTGAAGAGTGAAGAGCTGATTCAAATGAGGCAGCTGTCAATATTTGGAAATGCGACCATGGACTGAACGGCTTCATTTACTTCCTCTGCTGCCGTTGCTAAATTACAGGCAGACTACAATTCTAAAACAGCGCAGAAACTCAACATCCTTTTTAAACTTCTCCTTCTGTTCACTGACTTGCCGATAGAAAATCCACTGGATTGAATCCAAGACTAGACTGTGCTGGTAGTGACTTTGTTTTTTGAGCAGTTATACAGGAAGGCAATGGCCTGACTAGAATTTAAGGACATTTTTTAAAATCTCAAAAACAAGAACAAAATATCTTTCTTATTCTTCTGCCATTCAGCACTTAGAAATATTTTTGGTTTTCATAATAGACCTAAAACAAAAATATGTTTTATCTGGCATAATCTCAGTGAGAGAAAAAAAACAGTTCTTCCTTTTTATAAAGGGTAAATGAAGAACCAGTTTCAACTCCAAAACTCAGTTCAATGTATGATATACACAAATATTCCATTTCCCCCAGGATTCAGTAACATTTCAAATAACAACCAAAAATCAATTGCTCTTAAGAAAGAGGTTCAGCAGCTCTCCATCTGCTGCCAGGCAATCCTCTCACTGTCTTGGTTTGTAGGTTTGAAGTTCGGATCGAGGCCATGGTTCTCCGTGAGGAGTTCTTACCTGGCAGTGCTGCAATGAGTCATGACATCGATGTCATCAGAGCCGCTACTGAAGGTATGACGCACGTAAAATATGGTGCCACATATTTTTTGTGCATACGCAGGCTTTATGCATGAAGCTCCTGGTAGAGATCTGGACCTCATGCTCAGTTTCTAACCTACCCAACAAATTTCAATTTTATAAATAATCAGTCTTATTTATCTGAGCATTTAAATAAAAGTTATTTTAAGTAATCTCCATAGGTTTTTCACTTACCAAAACTTTTTTGCACAATCGTATTTAAACTTTCAGCTTCAGTCTTTTGTACTAAATCAAACTGAAAAAAAAAAAAATAATGTACAGATAAATCAGAATGTCTGAACTTGTGTTATCTTTGAGCTGATGTTTTCCTCTGGAGTCTCTAATATGTTCCTGTCCTGTAGAGCTGATGAACTGTGAGGAGCTTCATGCCATCCTTCATCTGGTCCTGCAGGCTGGAAACATCATGAACGCTGTAAGAGTTTCGCCTCATTAAACACTTAGTTATTAGCCTGGAGCCATTCTGCATATTATGTGATATTTGTACTTTAAACCCATATTTACTCTTTGATTCAAGCCACCTTCTTTTTAACAACTTCTTTTAACCCTCTTGCTGTTTTAACGTGACACTCAGGAGCGGTGCAGCCAATGTCATAGTCAAATGGTGGAAGCGGGAGGGTCGTCCCATCAGACTGTCAGTTTCCGAAACCACACAACAATAAAACAAACTCCCAAAAGCTCAGTGCGCCCGCACCAGACTGGACACAGAGTAAAAAAACTCAAGTGGTCTAATTGACCCATCCATTAAGACTGCAGGAGGGTTAAACTTACCACATTTTATTTTTCAGTTTTTTAAAAACAACATGATTTTGATATTCTAAAGTTTTATTCGGCACTTTAAAGTTGCATGAGGAGATGCTTACTGCACAGAACAATTAGCTGTACTCATCTACAGTTTTCTGATAACATTTTTGCTTGTGTTTCAGACAGTGATCACCTTTTGCCTCTGCTAAATATCTATCTGTCCACAGGGTGGCTACGCAGAAAATGCAGTTGGATTTAAGCTTTCGTCTCTTCTCTCATTGGCCGACACTAAGGCCAACAAGCCAGGAATGAACCTGCTGCATTTTGTTGCCATGGTTAGTAAACCTGGAGATATTGTCTCTGTCTGTCTGTCTATTGAATTGTCTGCCCGTCCGTCCGTTCGTCCATCTGTCATCGACCTGTCTATCGAGAAAATGAGAGACTGATCTATGTCTCATAGATTGAATAGATAAATCTAGAAAATATAGACCTAGAATAATGTTAGATCTAGATTTGAGATCTATATAGAAAACAAGATCTATCTCTGTCTCATTTTCTGGATCTATTCCTCTAAATGGATGTCATTTCTAGATCGATCGATAAAATTCTGGAACAGATTAAGAGACCACCCACAGCACTGAACCCTCATGGTTATTCCTACATTCTGAACTCTTCCTGAGTTCAAACATTAGTATTGTTTCTAAATGAATATGAACTTAATTTCTTTGCATTACTTGAGATCTGAAAGCACTGCATCTTTTTAGTTATTTTGAACAATTCTCATTTTCTATAAATAAATACTAAATTTTTGCTCAGAATTTGAGACATGTTGTAGCCTACATAGAATAAAAGAACAATGTTCATTTTACTCAAAAATATACTTATGAAGAGTAAAATCAGAGAACTGATCATTTTGCTGTGTTCTCTCAATTTTTTCAAGAGCTTTATATCTTGTTTAATTCATCTAATTTATTTTTTTTGTATTTTTCCTTCAGTGACATGTTTAAGGAGATTGTTGTTGCTTTGTTTTCTTGTTGCTGAACGTTGACAGCTTCTTTAGTCATTTTTATTGATTTTGTGGACTGCTTCAGAGGAAACAGGAAAAATAACGTACCAAACCTCACTGACCAAAAAGTAAGGCACAAGTGTCCATCCAGCTGCAGAAAAGTCAGCATGAGACCTCAGATTCACATATAAGCTGTGTTTTATAAGTGAACAATATTCTACCTAACCATGACAACAATATATAATGTCATGGTTAGGTAGACGAACTGGAGAGAAAGTAAGAGAGAAAATCAGAGTCAGAAGAAAAACTGGGAAAGACCTTCAGAAAGCCAGGAAGGTCTTGTAACTGTAATAGGAATCATCCCTAACAAAAAACCCTGGATCACCAGTAAGCTACAGAAACTGCTATGTTGAGATCCATCCTTACTCCCAAAACTTTCATCCTGCTGTAAGAGAAAGAGAAAATTCCAAACACTGTGATTCCAGAAGGATGTTTGGAGAACTGATGGTGACCAAAAGCATTCAAGAGATAAAACTGGATCACCAAACTTCCATAGCTCCATAAAACGTCCATGTGTCTTCAACACAGCATACATCCTACTCTATCCAGCCAAGTATTCAGTGTTGTGATGTAAACTTTTTAATGTTTCCGCCCACAGGAGGCGAAGAAGAAGGATGAAAAGCTGCTAAAGTTTCCAGAGAATCTGCAGCATGTACAGAGTGCAGCCAGGTAAACAAAAACTTCCTTCTGGTGTTAGCATTTCATACTGAATACATATTTATTTATACTCTGCCATCCAAAAGTTTTACTGATATTCAAGCACCTGCATGATTGAAGAGTCATGAATCAATTTGGAAGTGATTGAGTGGATTCACTGAAGAGTCTGGCCTCTGTCACAAGCACATTGCAGTGAGTCCATCCAGCTTCCCAAGGTCAGATGTGTGTTCCGTGCAGCTCCTGCACTGCAGAGGCTGCATCACTGCTCTACTCCTGCCAGTAGTCCTACAGTTCTTAAAGTTTGAATAAAATCAAAAGAACTGACTGAGGTTTGTGTATTAACCTTACATCAGATTCAAAAAGCCTCATTTATGCCCAACGGGGCAATAACTACATAAAAAAAAAGGACAAAATGCATTAGCAAAGTCCAAATGGGCAGTGAGGTGAGAGTCCTGTGGGATGGGGCGACCTAAGAGTGTGTTAGGTGTGTGAATGTATATCTGTGGGGAATTTCTGACCTCTTTCTTGTTTCTGTGCAGAATTTCAGTTGAAAACATTGAGCTGGAGTTTTCCTCCTTATACGTCCGGATCAAATCCCTGGAAGAGAAAATTCAAGGAGAAGAGCAGCTCCAGCTGCAGCTGGAGCCCTTTCTGCAGGTGAAGCTGCTGCACTGATGTCACACAGCACACACACACACACACACACACACACACACACACACACACACACACACACACACCACACACACCCCACACACACACACACACACACACACACGCACACACACACACACACACACACACACACACACACACACACACACACACTGACAGTTCTGGAGCTTCTGACTCAGCTGCTGCACACAGCAACATCTGTAAAATAGTAGATGGTTGAGAAAATGTGTTTGTGTTTGGCGTCTGCTCTCAGAGCTCAGCGCAGACGCTGCAGGACTTAAAGAGGCGCAGGCTGGAACTGCGAAAAGAGGGCAACACTCTCATCGATTTCTTTTGTGAAGACAAGGACACCTTCAAGCTGGATGAGTGTTTCCGGATTTTTCAAGACTTCTGCATTAAATTCAACAAAGCTGTAAAGGTTAGTGTGAGTGCAAAGATGCAATATTTGCACTGTTTTAGCAGCCGTGGTAGAGATTATTAAAACAGCCTAAAATGCATCTGTCTTTTATTGCAATAACAAAACATTTTGGAAAAATCCAAAATTGAATTAGTTTGTTAATTCTGTGGAAGAAAAACATAAACATATAGTGCATTTGGGGAATAATGAAAATGTTAAAAAGGGCCAGGACACCAGGGTTTACAGTGTGGTGGAAAAATCCCCATATCAGTGGTAAAAAGAAACAGTAATTTTGTTAGAGTGAAATTATGCTTCACTTTTAAAACAGTCATTTATTTCAACTTCTTTGGAACTTTTTTTGTGACTTCTTTACTTTGTGTGGCTGATTTCAAAATAAAAGCATGATGAGCAGTGCTGCTTTACAGCTTGTTGTCGGTAGTTTGGTCATGCATCAGCAGAGATGGAGTATCTTTCATCAGCAGTAGCTGAAATAAGTCCAACAAAAAAGAGAAAAACCTCTGACATATGAGAATATTTTGAAAACACATCTCACAATAAGGTTTTGATTAAATAAAAAATAATAAACCCCACAAAACCTCTACAAATATAAACCTCTAATGAAGCTGCCTAACCACAGCAAACCACAAAATACTTCAATCTGTTTGTACTTGTAATACTTTAATTTAAAATATCCAATCAACATTTTAAGAGTACCAAATGAATGTTCTCTTAATAACATTCAGGAGCCTTTGTCTGCCTGTATGAATGACCAATCAGAGTTAGTCTTCTGTAAACTGTGTATTTTTGGTGTTGGCCAGGACTCCCTTGAAAAGGAGTTTTTTTAATCTTGATATAAAATTTTAAGAAAGTAGCCGGAGGTCCAAAAATACTTCAGAGAATTCAGAGACGGTCACTTTATAAGATTGCACAAATTCTTGCGAAGTGAAGAATCATTTAAAGCAAACAGGTTCTGCTCATGACGTCTGCACCGTGTTTCATACCAAACAATCAGAGTGAGGCTTGGATTTCTATGAAATAATTTCTTTAATAATCAAAGCAAGTAGCAGGAAATGTAAATCGTAAATCAATTTTCAGAATGTTTAGCTAATTCACATGCAGTTGAGTGTATGTCAGTATAGACACTGGCTTGTCCAAGTATCCAGGCCTTTTGTCTTTTTTCATATATTGTAAAGTGACAACCACAAACCTCAGTGCATTTTACTGGAACTTTTTTATGATAGACCAACATAAAATTGCACATAGGAGGTAGGAGGAAAAATATACATGCTTCCAATCGTTTGCTTTTTTTTTCAAATAAATTTATGTGAAAAGCATGGCATGTAATTGTATTGGTATTTACAGGCTGTGTACATCTCTCATTACGTAGAATTCCTAAAGTCTCCCTAATCCTGTTTTGTCTCAGGACAACAGGGAGCGTGAGCTGAAGGAAGCAGCCAGACTGCGGCGGCTCAGGGAGCTGGAGGAGAAGCGCTTTGCGTGGGCCGCTGAGGATCACAGCAGCGTCTTCGGCCGCAGCAGCAGCGAGAGCGACGTAGAAATGCTCACCAAGGAAGGCCTGCTGGACTTCTTCCAGAAAAGATCCCAGAGTCCAAACAGTCCTCTAGGACGCTCTGCCAGCGCCCGCCGCCACCGTCACACTGTGACCTCCGTAGTAGACCGTGAGCTCCAGGGTTACCTGGAGCTGTTTGGAGGCGCTGGGAACCCCACCAACTACTCCAGGTTCTACAGCCTGCCTCGGCCCGGCCGGCCTCTCCACAGGAACGGCGTGCCGTGGATTCTTGGTCAGGATGACAGCAGAGAGGCGACGTCTCCACATGCAGAAACGGAGCCCGTCAGCTCTCTGGCCAGCTTCTCCTCCTCTTGCATGAACGACAATGAAGTCGTCAACGACAACAATAATTACTCGTCTGTTTCAGAGAGCAGCGCTTTGCCTCGACCCTTCTGTGTCTTTCAGAAGCCCACCCGCCTTCCCAACCCGGCTATTTCTGGCCTCATGAATGTTAGCGTGGACAAGCACACTTTAGTTCAAGCTCCTCAAAGTTTTGACCTGCAGAGCCCAAACAACAACAGCGACCAAAAGCACTTTGTCAGCCATGGCGACGTTGTCGTAACTGAACTCGAACAGGAGGCAGAATGTTCTCCCAGACATCAGGACAGATTCATGTTTGATGAGGTTTCAGAGAAAAGAGCTGATCCAAAGGCAGGGGAAGGTAAAGACGAGGCAGGAGCTTCCTCTGAGAGGGAGAAAGACGACAAGGACTGCAGCACAGTTTCATCCACAACCTGTGATACTCCCCTCCCTCTGGACACCTCTGTGTCCAACAAGAAGCCCATGTTTTACATAATAGACTGCACCGAAACAGACTGCTCTGTGGTGCTGGATTACTCCGAGGCTGAAAGCTCATCGCTCACCAAAGAAGGTCTTCAGTTTGTTCCTCAGTGGAGCAAAGATCTGGAAAGCCAGCAAGGTCCAAATTCCTCCTGCAACGACCAGTATGTCTCAACCAGTGAGCTCTCAGCGCCCAAATCTGCCGACGCAACATCTGTGGCTGCATCTGCCACCACAGAGGACTGGGACACAGAAAGCTGCGACACAGCAGAGGGGAAACAGGCTGCAGAGAAGGACCAGAGAGCAGGCAGAAAACCGCTGAACTCAAAGGGCAACAAAGTGTCAAAGGGTAGCGGGGGTCGAGGGGTTCGGACTCTGACCAGCGCCGAGAGCCAGGGAGTCCGGAAAGTTGTCCCCATCAGCAGGGTGAACAGGTCGGGCAGCAGCAGGAGGACAGACAGACCTTTGGTCCAAGACGGCGGAGAGGCACACCGACACCTCCGTGACCAAAGCACCCCTGCAAGAGGAAGAGCCGAGAAGACAGCAAGGCCACCTCGACACTCAAGTGTTCCTCCTGATGACTCCAAGGTCCAGAGGGGGGGTGATCTTACGGGGGGCGTGTCTAGGTGGGCGCGAGATTCAACGCCGAGGAAATCTTCCCTCCACAAGCCGAGCGCCAAACCCCTCAGAAACATCCCAAAGCCCGTACACGAGGAGAAGATGTGCCGCTCCACCATGAGGGCCCTGGCTCAGGCTCAGGCTGGAGCCCATGGGGGGCCTTCCTCCGAGAACAGCAGCTCAGAACCGCAAAGCGCTAAGAACTCCTCTAACGTCCCCAGCTTTGCCCGAAACACTGTAGCTTCATCTTCCAGGACCAAGAGGGATCTGGGTCCTCCCTCCATCCCTACCACTCCGTCCCGCAGTCCTTCGCTCCGGGGACACCGCACTCCCACCAAGCAGAACCGAGCCTCACCGACACCTCAGAGCAATGAAGAAAAGCCTCCAGGGACACATCTGCGGCGGGTGCACAGCGTCAAGGCGGCCAGCCGCAGCGCCTGTCGCAGCGAGACCCCGCCTCCAACATCAACAAGGGGGAGGATTCGGAAGACCAGCAGCTTTTCTGAAAAGTCTGTGCAGCTCAGAGACTCGTTGCTGTCTGGCAAAGCCACAAAGCCAAGCTGGAAGTGAAACCAGACCTGATGCAACCTGACTGCAGTCACAGACGACCTCTCCATTTAGAATAGAGTGATATTTACTCACCTTACCAATCCACAGTGGAGAGGAATCCTCTCCAACATGCAACAGACCTGAAGCTGAAATCCATATTTTGCTGTTTCACCCTCTGAGGTTACTTCTGTAGTTGACAAGTGCAAAGAGCAAGATGCAATGAACCTCTTAATTTTTGTCATGTTTCTTTAGAAAATTACTTTTGTTGTTCCGCTAACATGACAAGTGGTAAATTGGTGATCTTACACAGAAGCCTTATTGCCTGCTTAGCTGTTAATCTGCAGAACCCTGTATGCTACTGTCTGTTACGATGTTAATGTTTAAAAAAAAATACTGACTCACTACCATAATGCTGCTAATTAGCTCTGATTGTTCCCTTTTTTTTATTTCAGGGTTTCAGAATCTGGTAAATCTTGCCGCTGTCACTGTGCCTTGAAAAAGTATTGACAACCTGAGAACTTTTTCACATCTTCTCAAGTTACAACATAAAAAAATGAATACAATAGGTTTAATATGTACTTTATGTGATTGGAAGATAACAATGAGTATTGCACACATTGGCAATGGCAGGACTGCACAATGTGAGGAAATAATGTTATGCAATATGCTCAATATTTCAGGTATAATATTGTTTAAATCCTCATTTTTCTTAGTTTCCTGTTTCTCTGTGGTTATTGCGATGCTTCATCAGGGCGTCTGATCTGAGTCATGCAGGCCAGTAAATATCCAGCCAACAGGCTGCATGTATAATTGGCAGATTGATGGAATTCACGTTTATAATTCACTCTGGGATTTCTGAAGGTTTTTATTTGGGAACATCAAAGTAAACAGGGTTCAATACAAATGCTCTCCACAGTTTTCAGGTTTTTATTCCTTGTGTCCCTTTCCTCCGCCTTCACAATGATGTGCAGCCTTGCCTTTGTATTGGTCTATCACATAAAATGCCAAATGAATACGCACACGTTTGTAGTTGTAATACAAGAAATCATTCAAAACGTTGAGCGCTGTTCATGCTTCTGCCAGGCATTGTGTGTGTTTTCGTTTTGTCTGGTCCTCCAACTGTTTCCTTTGCTCAAAACCTCAGACAGATCGCTGTGGCCTTGTAATCACATGAGAAGGACTCATTGATTTTTATGTGCTGACAACATGGACATAATCTGATCAGTTAAAGTCCATGGCATTCTCAAGTTAGAACAACATGTAAATTCACAAATAAAATACCACTGTACACAAACTGCTTTTGGTACCTTTTCTATTTAAGCGTCAATCATTTGTAAGTGCATGAAGTCACTGTGGACTTCAGAAATGTTCAAATTTTGAAAAGACATGATAAATATTGATGATGTAAAATAAAAATGTTGAGTGAATTTAAATAATACTGAAAACATGGCCAGTGATCCCTTCATAATATTGAATAGCGCTACGAAAAGATTTTTGTCTCATTAAGATTGATCTTGTTTTTGCTCTTCACAGATAACTATGTAAATATGATCTGAGGATTTAGGAGGGTTAGATTATCTCACTCAGGATGTTTTTTGGCAGGTGGCTCTTTGTGGGGGTTTTTGGTCATTTAACTTGAACATTTCTGCTTGACACCGGTTTTGTTTCTTATTATCGAATCATGAACTTTGACCTTACCTGAGGCAAGTGAAGCCTGCACAACCTGAGATGTTCTATGATGGTTTGTGACCTCTTGGAGGAGTCCATATATTGTGTCTGGAGACTCTCCCTGTGGTTCATCTTCAAACTGCTTAGTGACTCTTTCTAGACTCATGAATCAACAGCATGTCTCAAATTTCTCAGTTCTTTTCAATCGTGGCATAAAATTGTTTAATGAAAACATTTAAACTCCGTTTTGTTGGATTTGATCTATATGTTTGTTGACGCTACTAGTTTGTTGACCAGTAGTACCAGGTTTTCAAAGATGTTCATTAACAGTTAACAATTAATTTCTTCATTCAACAAAGAGGACATTTACTTTTTGGCTTGGATAGATTTTTTTTACTGGGATAAATCATCATTTGAAAACAGTTTGATTATCTTTGATTTGTGTGACAAAACAGCAAAACCAAAACAAATAAAATAAAACAATAGGAATCTGTCAGGGACAAATGCTTGTTTGCAGTTCTGATTCCTACAGACCTTCAGTTTTTGTCTTCATTTAATAGACTTCCAGTTTATAAGAATAGCTATAGCAAATAATTTATTTGAAATCGAATTTCTAATACAGGAACAACAAACTAGTGTCACAAACCACAAGCAGCAGAAATAATCTTTGATTCTTTGAGATATCTATAATTACAGTCTTCACATCTTCTGAGGGTGTCATGGTTTTGTCACAGTACAAACGTTGACTTTTACTGTCTTGTGTTGACACATTTCATGGTTTCCTGTGAAATAATGCCCAGAGTCCATTTTTATTGTGCTGTTCAAAAAGGTCAGTAAATATTTGTATTTATTCATAAATGGTGGTTTAGAAACTGCTTATGGATGTAGAAACATGTTACCTGAAAAGCTCTAATATCTTATTTATGTTTAATAGTTCTTAAAATGTTTGTGCTTCGATGACAACAAAACTCATATCTCGCACTCTTCATTATTACCAAGCCTGTTGTTTCCCATCAGTTGTCCTGGCTGCGATAAAATCACATTTATAAAATGAGTCACACTGAGCTTAACAAGAATCTCTATTTTACATACGCTCTCTGGTAACTGGTGATATATTTACATTCAAAATACAAAAGCAAATGAAAACAGATGTCCTGGAGCAATCCCCATCAGATCGGCGAGAGCTGCAGGGTGTTGGCAGGTCGTAGCTCTTCCTGGTCCTAAAATGCAAATCAAGGTGATGACATAAAGGCTCCAAGTTGACATGCAGGCCATGTAAACACACAAATGTATTTTCGCTGACTAATCAGGATTTTCTGTTGCCTTCCTTTCATTTTACTAACAGTTTGTATCTAACCCTACCCCTAAATAATCACTTTAAGGGAAGGTTTCACAGAACTGTCGCCGAAACAACCCAACCCAGAACTGCTTAGATGCTAAAATTTAGAATTCCACAAACACACCCAACCTCCCCTGACCCCCATAACGCCAACCCATTTCTTCAGTGTCCATTTTACATTTCTCTCGCAGAGATAGAGCATTTCTTTCCCATCTGTGGTCTAAGTACACTCAAAAATGCTAAGCAGTCTTCTGTGATGGACAGGTGACCGGTCCAGGGTGACCCCACCTCCTGCCCATTGACCGCTGAGAGGCATCAACGCTCCTCACAACCTCACTTGGGATATTATTTTCTCACTGAGATAAAACTCTTCTTGCCAACTTTGCTCTAACTCTATTAAAACTACTAAAACCATTGGTTTTCAACTTTACAGACTTAAACGTCTACAGTTACCATCTTTTATAGCAACATAATTATGAAACTTAAAAATTGTTTTCAACAACTACAAGTATGCATGGAGTGTTAAAACTGAGTCACAAGAAAGTGAGAGAAAAGCATCAAATTGTTTTTGATTTGTAAGAAACTGATGCCTGGCTTGAATGTTCCAAGTTTATTTACAGTCTGAACAGATGAGGAAGCTTACAGAGGAGGTTTTTAGATGTTTTTGAACAACTACATGTGGATAGACTTGGAGTTAAAGCGAAGCTGGAAAAAAAAGCTTTATCTCATCGAAGTGAAGCAGAAAATGAAACGAAAACTGCTTGATTATTCAAGTTTATTTAGCTAACCACCTCAGATTGCAGTAAAAGAGAGGCTTTCATGGCTTTAAACTGGAACATTTCTAAAAAAAAAAAAAAAAAAAAGGAGAGTTATAGTAAAACAGGAAAAAGTTGCTTTGTCTCAACAAAAGAAGTGAACTGATGTCTGGATTATATATTCAACTTTATTTACTGTCTAAGCATCTTAGAATGCTGAAAAATAAATGTTTTAATGGTTTGAGATTAAAATGTGTAAAAATGTACATAAACAAAGTGTTATAGCACTTAAACAGAGTGCAAAATGAAGGGTTTTAAGACTAATATCTGCAGTAGCCTATATGTTGAACTTTACTGTCTAAGCATCAGAATGCTGAAAAAGTAAAGTTTTAGTGCTTTTTGAAAATGTCTAAACATTGTGTTTGCCTGATTCAACAATAATGAAGCAGATGGAAGACATTGGACAGGACATCAGAGACCAACTACTGACTGATCAGTGCAGCGTTCCATGCACTTTTGGCATTTTTTTGAGGAAAATGATCTAATTTGATCCAAACTTGATAGCGTTTGCACTGACGGTGCAACAAACATGCAAGGAAAGGAGAAATTTAAAAGTTTTAATTGCATAATATCAACATGTTTTTTGAGGAATAACTGGAATGTAAAATTATTAAAAGTTTTCTTTACATACATATTGCAAAATGAATGACCTCACCGGGTCATAAAGACCCACTTACACATCAGAGGGCGAAAGGGGATCCTCCTCAGCCACAGTTCAAAAGATCAAGCAAATAGTTTAGAGCCACATAAATGTGACTGATATGAGTCAAACTTCTGGAAAAAAATACCTACTCTCTTTATAAAACCAATGAAAAATACTTTATTTGTTTATGATTATTCTCATAGGTAAAATCTCAGATATTTACATGTATGAGTTCAAAAACAGGACAAAACTTTAATTTATGCACATTGATTGACTTACATTTACAAATTTAGATATCTTACCCCATGCTTAACTCCTTACATTTCCATGGCAACTAAAACAAACAAGGACCTTAGAGGTTTTGACATCATTTTGATGAGAACCCATCAATGATGTCATAAATGTTCACAAAGATACAAGAATACAAGAATTCTCAGTTTGCTTCTCAACTTGGTTGGAGGCAGATCGATTCCTGAGAGACGACTTCAAACTGATTCTACAAACCATTTTAGCAGAACACCAAGTCAAGAGGATTTTGATATTTATGGGACCTTGGATTTCTTATTTTGAAGGGAGTTATAAAGTTGTTAGGATAAAACATAAGAGGCAACGATGGTTTAGTAGAGAACTCTGAGGACAAGAGATCAAAATACTTTGCTTTTGACATTGAAGACAAAAAGGACATGGAAGATTCCTCTAAGGATGAGAAAGATACTGGCAAAACCACAACTATGGATTTGACAGTAAAGGCATCAAAAGACTTTGTTCCTCATGACCAAATGAACCTGAATGTTTGTTTGCTCACAGGTTGAGAGAGTTACCTTTACAATAACTGCTAACTCTTTACCAACAAAGATATTACAAAAATGTGTATTGTTGTTGGGAAGACATAATGATGGACCTGGATGTGAAACCAAACTGTGACAAATTTTGAAGAAATTTCTGAGGATTCATCATCAGAAGAATCCTCTTCAGCAGAAGAAAACTCACAAGATGAAATTCAAAATGATACAGATAATTCCGACAGTGTGGATGTTAATCTTGTGCCAAACATGTACTTTTGCAAATTTTCCAACTCATTCTTCAACTGTTGCATGAATGCCACAATACGTAGCATCATGAACTTGAGTATCATCAGAAGGTCTGTGGCTCAGTATCCGGACCTTTTACAGAGAAGCCATTGTTTGCAAGGTTTTTCTTTACAGCAATCCAGGAAGATATTTTCTCTAGATGAAGTCTTTGCAGTTCAGAATGAAATAATTGAAACATTGAAGATGAAGAATGTAGTACATCAGGACAAGCCAGGAGTCTTTTTGTTTTATATGTTACACTATCTGACCCAATATGTCATTAACACAGACTGTGAGCTGTACACAGCTGACTATTGTGAACTTCACATATTAATCCTGTCATTCAGCTACCAAAGGACCAACAAGAGAACACAACAACTACTCTTGTAAATTGTTTTATGTGACACCCGGAACTTCAACATAAAGACAGAATACTTAAAATGTTTAAATAATTGGAATGTTTTATATGTTTTTTGATCATGCAAACTAATTTTTTGTTTCGTCTATAAAAATTTGTAAAAGTATAAAAGTTTTTAATCATAATTAACATTGAATTAACGTGTTTTTCAATCTGGGATTTTATTATTGAGAAGAGTTTATCACGTTTTTAAATAAGGATGATATACTGGCTTAAATGTTAGTTCAATATTTCTGTCTAACCATATTTTAATGTTGATGCAATCACATTTTGCTTGCTGGGTTCGTTTGACACCAGGAAGTGAGCGGACACGGCCACACTGTTTGAACAGCGACATCTGCTGGCAATTGGCCGCTAATGAAGAAATGAATTATTTTAAGGCAAATTTTCGGTTTTGTACACTGGGGTCGTGATTACAAAATTGAACTAACAGTTGAAACAAATTACAATGCCCACGAGTGTACGAGAAAATTCTAGGGATTGTTTACAGAAAACCATAGAGAAAATACCAAAATAACCAAGTCAAAACACTAAAGCCTTGATCTGTACGTTAAACATGTTTAATTTCATTTTTTAACACTTATTTCAGGCTGAATCATTACCACAGTTTTGACATGTAAATTGTTAATATCAGTTAAAACCATCAGAAAATAAAAACACCAATAGAAAACACTGTCACATCTGCACACAGGTATATGAAGTCCTGTAGGCATCTCTCTCTCTCTCATTCACACACACACACACACGCACACACACCCCTACACACGCACATGCGCGCACACACACACAAATTACTGTTTTTTACACTTTATCCTACAGCACACAATGTCAGATACAACTCAGGATTCAGGAGAATAGACAACACTGAAATAGTCTTGTTAAAGCATTGCAATACAGAGAGTCATTCATCATTAATGTTTTCTCCTTATCCTCCAAAAACAAAAAAAACTAGCTAGTCATTATTCATCTTTAAAGTCTTCTTTTAAAAGACAGAGGAAATTAAAAAAAGCAAAGTGGTATGACGTTTTTTTAAGAGTTTATAAATATGAAAGGCCACTCAGCAGTGACTTGTCCCACAGATCTTAACATTGTTTGCTTTAATGGTGCAAGAAAACACGGTTAAGTCTTAGAACATAGGTAGCATCGTAACACAGACATTTTTTCTTCCTAGTAGAACCACACGTGTGAGATTGTCTCGCTACTACGAGAGGTGGCCATTGTTTAAGTTAAGCAGACAATATTAAAATCTTCTGTACAAACAGTGGGTGAGAAGATGTGTCTGTACTGTGTCACCTATAATGCAAATCAGTGTGAGGAGATTGTAGCGTTGCCCCAGCTCTTGATGTAAACAGGACTAAATGATGGAAAGAGAGATTTTAAACAAAGCCCCAACACCCATAAGGCATGTACAAGAATCAGAATCATGCCACACCGTGTGTGTGCCGCCGTGATATGGATGTGACTCAGGCTACTCAGGCAGCCCAGACGCATCGATCGACCAACACTGACAGAACATTAGCCAGTCACGCTGCAGAGATGCCACACACACGGGTTCACAACTGCAGTTTGTTCATTTACACTGTACAGTTTTAGGGCAGGCGGAAAAGCCACGTGGCAGTGTCCCGTCACAGGCAGTGAGTTTTAATTCTTCAGCTCTTTGAGTCATCTCCCGCAGAACTTGTGCTTGAGTAAAAAAAAAAAAAGAAACTCAAAACCATTATCCCAATGGTGCAAGGCAAGATTAACAGCTGAAAAAAACTCAAACAGAAAAGGTTCGGGAATATAAAAGAAGAAAATGACAGCTATTCTTGGTCACAGTATCACATCCTACATGAGCAAAACGAACAAAACCAAAAAATCACCAGATAATGAGTTAGTGATTTTAAGTAACACTATTTTCTGTGACCCAATTACCATTCAGGGACAACAGAAATTTGTTTTATGAATATGTTCAACCACAACCTCAATGTATTTTATTGGAGCTTCATGTGGCAGACAAACGGTACTGATGAATGAATACTTTACTTTTATTTATTTATTTTTGATAAGTAAAGGATGGAGCCCTTGTCTGTATTTAATCCTCTTTCACTTCGACATCCAGTGGAACCAAGTACTTTCAGAAGTCTACTTTTTAGTAAAAAGAGTCATTTAAACTCATTATGAATTTCCTGTGGAGTCCTCAGAGGTTTGGAAAAGGAGCTTAATGGACAGCATCATGAAAATGACAAGACATGTCGGAGGCGACCAAAACGACAGGCAGAAAGTGCTATTGTCAGAAAAGAATTAAAGTCAACATTCTAGTCTAAATGCAAAGTAAAATATGAGACAAAATCATGTCATCCTTTACATACTCACTGTTAAATATTATGTGGTGGTTTTATGCTGTGGGGGACACTTTTGTTCAGAAACCTCCAAAGACTCCAAATTGAGGTGGAAGTTCACCAAAGCATTATTGTGTGATAAAGTGTCCCAGTCAAAGTCCAGACAATCACGCTGGTCTGTGGTCAAACTTGCTGGATGCTCTCTATCTCATCTGACTGAGATGGAGCTTTTTTAATTTTGAGCCTCCAGAAACTGAAAGAAGCAGGCCCTGGTGGGTCTGTAGTTGCCATGGCAACTAAAAGTGCTTCAATAACATCGTTTTAGAATTTTTAATCAGAAAAAAATATCCCTCCACTTTACAACTATCTGCTTTTTGGTGGTCTGTCAAATAAAATTTCGACAAAATAAATTGATGTTTGTGGTTCTGATGGGGGAAAAGAGGAGAAACTTCAAGGTGTATGAATAACACTGAGGCACTGCATGTCCCTCAGCACAATCCTGAAGGGAAAAAACAAACATTTTTATTCTCCCTCTCCAGCCTGACCTTCTGACAGCTTCACATAGCACCCAATAGGCTTTAAATTGCAAATAGAGTCGGCTGATTCCCTTTTCAAATATTTGTCCTATTCCCTTATCGCTGCCAGCTACACAAAAACCCCCAAAAACAAACAAACAAACAACAAAAAAAAAAACGCTCCTTACACATTTCATTTTTCTGTTATGAGTCATCCTGAGGCAGTAGGAGATGAGAACAGTATCAGGCATCCTTTATTTTCATTAGTCAGTTTATTTGGCACAAGTTGAGCCTTTTTTTTAATCCGTGCTCCACAGCTCCCACTTCCCAGATAAATGTGTGTGTTGTACAACAGAACTCTTGGCTCAATTACTTCAGAATGCATTAACTGGTGTGTGTGTGTGTGTGTGTGTGTGTGTGTGTTTGTGTGTGTGTGCTGTACATGCACGTAAACACAATGACGGTGGACACGACGATCCGAGCCTTAAAAGACGAGTCGAAAAGGGAATGTGAATGTGGCTCAGCTCAGTTCCTACCTACTGTCACAGCGTTCTGAGTCACTGACTTGTTATTTACAGACATGAGCATTTAGTTAGTGTGTGTGTGTGTGTGTGTGTGTGCGTGTGTGTTTGTGTAAATGGTACAGTGAAGAGTTTCCATGATGAACACACAACACACTACATAACCAGGAAGCATTAAACAGTCTACTCTTCATGAAACCAGAATAAAGCGCATGTTGCACTATTTACAGCTCTATACAATGTGTGTATTTGTGCATGTGTGTGTGTGCGTGTCTGGCTGTAAGAAGTTTCAATGGAAAAGCGTCTTGGAGCTGGGGGGATTGATCAGATACGTCCCAGGAGGAGATATCAGAGGAAGAGGAGGAGGAACGGCAGAGAGAGGGCGAGCTGGACGAGCCGCTGAAAGCCGGATCCACTAGGAAGAGGACAAACGGTGAGCCGCTCAGACCCCCTGTGTGGCTTCTGGCTTCATCTTAAACAGATTCGGTGGGATCCTGCTGAGCTCCGTCCTGAGAGAGCTGTTGGCTGTGAGAACATGGCTGAGGCAGTGCTGTGTTGAACTGGTCTCTAGTGGACTGAGGACTGAGGCCGGGCAGCGGGGTTAGGCCGACTGGCCGGATCCAGTTGATCATTGGGAACAGAGCGGCGGTTCTGCTCTGGTCGGTTGGTGGCTAGGTATTTCGCTCTCATACTGGAGGTGTACTGGATGGAGAGAGGGAGTACAAGGAGGAAGGAAGAGCAAGAGAGGAGGATGATGAGAAGCATAGAGGAAGGTACAAGAACAAGAAAAAGGAAACATGAGTTTAATAATTAACCTCTTTTGCACTTCTCAGCATCAGCAGACAAATCCAGCTGAATCCAAACATTTACATGCTATATTGGAACAAAATACTATTTTTTTATATAAATCAAAATTACTCATGTTTGTTATACTAATACTGAGAGAATATTTTGGAACTCTCTTCAAAGTTAAAAGTTTACAGTATGCACTTTTCTGTCAAACAATTTGGTAAAGTTAAGAGAATCAAATCAGATCTTTGTAAGATTTATAAGAGCAGAATTCAATGGATGAAACCAGATATTTACACTCACCAAACAAAAAGACACAATCTGAAATTAAATCAGACCAAACATCTTGTTTTAGGTCAGTTAGAATGATTAAAATTACTTCTGTTTTACAGATGCCAGAAAAGGCAAGAAGAGTGTGAGGAGGGAGGAAGGGAAACTTTTCTCAGAAACAGCAGTTGTGTCAGAGGGACCAGAGTAAAACGACAGTAAACCACTGGGAGAAGGTTGTGTTTCGAAGGGTTAGGGTTGTCTTGTAAAAATGACAATGGAAATACATGCTGAAGTTTAAGAATGGAACAAAAAACATCTTGTGAAAAAATTCCCTGATTCTGGTGATTTTTTTTTCATCTAAAACATAAAACTGCTTCAGTGTTAAATGACAAGAAAATACTATTATTATTATTTTTTTTTTAAAAGTTTATGTAAACATCTGGTGTCAATTACAGGTAGAAAGAGATACACACACTCATACAGGTCATTGGATCAGTCATTTGGACAGCCAGGATCTGACTACAGCAGTCATTCACTAAGTAGCAGCTGATTAGAGCTACATGAAGTTATTATGTGATTCCTTTGAAGTTAGTCTACTTCTGATGTAGTGGGTTAGCCTGGTATGCGTTAGTGGCTTCATGTGGGAGTCACAGTAAAAGGGGTCTTGTGTTTCCACATCCCTGCAGAGGGCAGACGGTCAGCGCTGCCTGTGAAAATAACAAGCTGCCGTCATTCAGCTGTTTGTGGACGGTGGAGGTGGGAGCAAAGTGGCAGTGTGGCTGCTGGATGGTGAAAGGTGACGAGGGGAGGCACAGAAACAGCAGACACATACACCTCGACCAGAACATGTGCACACATAGACACAGTGTGGAACAGGAAGGAGGGGGAGAAGAGGAGCTGTAGCGGTTTGGGCTCCAGTGTTTCGGTGAGGGTGAGTTGCGTTCGGACAATGTGTCTGAACGGTTCGGCTTCAGCTGGCAACAGCATCCAAACGCATGAAATCTACAGCTGATATATGTGAGGGGGTTTTCACCGACAAACAAGCCCAGCAACTGTCAAAGTCACAACGACCGGGAGAGGCACATCTCAATAAAATAGTTTCATCAAACAGGGAAATTCATGGATTCAGTTCAATTCCAATCAAACTCCAAACTCACTGATACGTTTCAAGCACTTATTTTCTTTCTCATGGCTTTAAGCTACTCGAACTAAAAATTCAGTTTCTCAGATAAGAAAAAATTACAAAAGACCAAGACGAAAGAATTTACAGGTCTGGAAAAAATGAAGAGACTGCACTGAAAACCTGGTTATTCCACCAAATATTGATTTCTGAACTCTTCCTGAGTTCAAACATTAGTATTGTTTCTAAATGAACTTGTTTTCTTTGCATTACTTGAGGACTGAAAGCACCGCATCCTTTGTGTTATTTTGATCTTTCCTCATCATCTGCAAATAAATACAAAATTTTTGCTTGGAATTTTGGAAACATGTTGTCAGTACTTCATAGAATAAATGAACAATGTTCATTTTACTCAAACATATTACTATAAAGACTAAATTCAGAGAAACTGATCATTTTTGGTGGTTTCTTAATTTTCCCCAGAGCTTTATGTTATGGCCTTCATACTCCACAAAAGGTCACTGCTAAAGCAGGCGGCCGCTCACGGATTGCTGCAATTAAGCAGATTAACAGAAAGTTGAGTAGAAAGAAAAAGTGTGGTGAAAGAAGAATAGGGAAATAAAACTGGAGAGGTTTGTGAAAAGCAAAACCCACAGTGGGGCAAGAAGAGGTTAACCAGGCTGGGACAGACCGAGGAGTCAGAACCTCCGGACACACACTCGCTTGTGTGTGTCAGATCCTTTTTAAGGAAAAAAACAACCTGAGTGTTGCTCCGTGGTCCACACATCACACTGTCACTGATTACTGATGGAGCTCTGTTACCTGCTGGTGCTGCTCCGATGTGTTTTATCATGTCCAAAACCAGCACACACCTGGAGAATCTCATGTTTCTCTGTGCTGATGAGTTTTATGGAGATTTCATAACAAGCAAACACTTGAAATGTTTCAGTGTGTGCTCAATGAATTAATATAGTATGAGTTTCACATTTTAAATTGTAGTTAGTGGAAAAAAAATTTTTTTGATGATATTCAAGTTTATTGAGATGCACCTGAAAGTCATTTTAGCTAAGACATCTTGGTATGTTTGTTTGCAGTTCCTCCACATGGGTTTTGTAGCTGAATGGCAAAAACGCACGAGTTCAGCCTGAAAAATGTTCCCCACCATGTAAACCACGATACATCAGAAATAGAGGCCAACTCTGTGTCCAACATGACACTGCAGGCGAATCAAAACAACCATTTCTCTTTCAATTCACGTGCAAAAGGTACAAAAAAAAAACTCTTCTTTTTAAGCTCTGGTTGTCCCAGGCTGCCAAAATGACTCATAAAGCTTGAACCATGGTCACTGTCGAGTTTGAGCACAAATGACACTTGCAGGGATGAAGGGAAAGAGGGCTACCTTCCAATATCCACACACAGCATGTCAGATGACTGAGATGGGAAAAACTTCACATCCTTATTATTGGCAGGACAAACAGAATCTCTGTGGGGTTTGTTTTGTGCTGTGGGTATTGGAATACAGTAGAAGGGAGCGTGTGATCTAGAAAGTGTGCACTTACAGAGGGTGGAGGGGACTCCCTGCCAATCAGGGGGGTGTTCTCACACCGGGGGTTCTGAAAGTTTGCGTTCTGGCTCCTGCATTGTAAAATAAGAGGTTACTTATTTAATGTGCTCACACTGCTGCTGAGCTCCTGGTCTGTTTTTGACCTCTAGTCTGCTCATCATAACTCTGATCAATAAACAGGGATCTTCAACTTGGCAATATATAATGTGCACAAAAAGTTAAATCTTTCCTATCAAGTAACAAGTAGGAAGAAAAAATGTGAGGAGCCACAGGAATCTGATATATGCCTATATATTTAGATGAATTTATTATGAACAGTACTGTTTAAAATGTTTTGATTTGATCAATATGTATGTAGACTTTGTAAATAGATAGTGCCTTGATATTATACACTTTTTTTTTTACATTTTATCACATTACAAGAACAACCTTTATTGTATGATTTTTATGCATCAGAAAAGTCTGATGATCATTTTTATTCAGCCCCCTTCAACCAGGTGCCTCTAAATAAAATCCAGGAAAAGCAACTGCAGTAAAAGAACATCAGGTATCATGAAGAACTAAGGATCACACCAGAAAAAGGTGTAGATTAAGTTACAAAAACAACATCCCAAAACCAAGTTCCAGATCAACAAGACAACTACAAGTGAAGCATCCTACAATTTCTTTTTTATAAGACAGTGATGAGAAGAACGTCCTGCCTCCAGTTTGTCACAAGCCTCATACTTCACAGTAAACCTGACAGAATGTGCTCTGGTCAAATGAGAGTCAATTGAGGTTGTCCCTTTTTGCCTGCAGGGAAAACATCATGTGAGGTAGATAACTAGCATCAACCCAAACACACTGAAGCACACAAGTTTTTTTCAGCAGGGATTTAGTGGAACATTTAAGAAGATTAAAAGAGGAAGAAAACCTGTCACAGGTTCCAACAAACACTGGGTGAGGGATTTATCTATCAGCAGGACAACAGTCCTATGCATACAGTCAGAGCTACAATGGATGGTTTAAATCAAAGCATTTCCACGTGTTAGAATAACCTGGTCTAAGTCCAGAGTTAAACCCAGATGAGTGAATGGCAACACTTGACAGATGATGTTTTGGCACTCTGTATCCATTTTGACTGAACTATTTTGCAAAGAAGAACAAGCAAAGGCCTGCGCATGTGGAAAGCTGATGGAGGCAGGATTTACATCTGTAAAATGCAGTTCTGTAAAATATTAACTTTGGGTGGCAGAACTTTTTACATGAGTAAATAATTTAAAAAGCCCTCCATCACTTTTGTTTCTCTTCACACTTTTGTTCTCCTTTTATGTTGGCCTATTAATGAAAGTCTCATTTAAAAAATCATTTATTAGTTTTAATGTGACAAAATGTAAAAAAAAAAAAGAAAAAGAAAAACTGTTTTGCAAAGGCACTAAAAAGAGTCATACTAACTATTCCAGCACTTAGTTTCTGCTTGCAGTGAATATGCTGTGCTTGATTAAATTAAAATGTAACAAGCAGCATCACAACATTAAAAGTTTTTTTAAGAGTTGTTCTGTTCTGAGCAAGGAAGTCAGTCCTGTGGCAACCACATGCATGCATGGTGACATTATTAGCTTGTGTTACTGGGCCACTAACATGTCCTTGCTCTATTTATCTGATTTTTGAAAATATTGTGGGGATAAACAGGCAGGTCGGCTAAAAGAGGCAGCAGGAGTCTTTCTATCACTCCAACAGGCGATCTAATGAGGAGTTTTCTATGTTGGTCATAGAGAACATGACTACACTGTGGATACGTATAGGTTGTGTACTCTGGGCCACACAAGGCTAGCATCAGCTGCCTATAGCCTGCATGTGTGTTGATTCTGGTAGCCTCTGGCTAGCGGTTGGTGCTAACTCACATGTATTCAGTGACGGGGGCATTGCTGACAGTGTGGGCTGTGGCAGGCAGGCTAGCTTCGCTGCCATAGCTGGAGCCACAGCTGTAGAGACTGGGCATGTGAACACGGTACAGGTTATCGTGCACACCGCGAGAGGCACCCGACTCGTCTTCTCCGTCCTCGTCATCCATCCTTCAACCGGTCAGATTAAGAGCAGGGCATGAGAGGGCATGATGGGTGAGAAGGAAAGAAGGCAGAGGGGAGGGAGATCCGAGAGAGACAACAGAGTATAAACAAGTGATTGAAGATGAGGTTAGGCGAGAGGGGAGGATTATTGGAGGTCTCCAAAAATAAATGAAACACCCAGCCCAGGCCATGCCTCCAGCAGCTGAATGAGTAGAAACGGGTCATTGACAGCATTCATCTACAGACAACATCTACTGCCAGTACAAAGGTCTGAAACACGAAGCTGCATTTTTCATTTTTGAACGCTTTAATGTATGCGCACTGTATAAACACATTATCCTTAAAGATAACCATGCAGTCATTGTTTTTATGCATCTATTATTGAGATAGATGTTTTGCTGTTGTTATTTAAAAGCAAATAAGTCTGTCAAAGCAGAATTAAATGTCAAGTAGGGCTGGGCGATATTTCATACAGCGAGGAGAGTTTTGTTCATCTTGAGATGTCAGAAATGCAATGAATGGCATCTCGTTTGATTGAAGATTGGAACTGAATATTTCCCTAAATGCTTCAATAACTCTTCCCCTACCCCCTTTTTTCCCTTAAGAGGATCTTGGAGACAACAAAGCAAAATAAAAGTCCTCTAACAATGAATTACCAGTGTTCAGTCATAAACTTGCAGTATGTAACTTATTTAAAAAAAAAAAAAAAAAAAAAATCAACTTTTTACATATTTGTTGCAATAGTATAGCATAAGACAATAAGACAGATAAGACTGGGCTACAAAAATATATTTTTTGGAAGTTGTCCTTGTTTTTTGAACTGAATTAGGATTATTTTTGCACAGCTGAATCCAAATATTACATCCATTTTACTTACTAGTCAGGTTTTTATTCTAATATGAGTTAGAGAAATTTGATCTCCTGACTGAACTGATGATATTTTTGTGATATTATCAGTTCACTTCTGTTAATATTTCTCATCCAAAAAAGGTTTTGAGAGAAAAAAAGTCTTCTATCAGTGTATTAATTAAAAGTTACAAACTTGTATTTCTGTACATTGAATGATACACAATGATAAGAATAAGTACATGTGAATTGAACATTATGTCTTCATTGTGTAAAATTCTCTATCTCTTTCCTGTCCTGATGGAATCTCTCCTGCTCATCACTCATTGGTCCAGATTCTCAGCGAACCGATCCAGATGTGAGAACAAGTCCTGCATTTTGATGCTCAAGTTGCTCCATATTTCAGAAACCAGTGTGACCTTTGGATTCAGCACATCAAAATGACCCTAAAACAGTTGAAAAACCCAAGATCACTTTTTGGCTTCTAACCAGAGTAATCTGTGGAAAAAAATAAAATAAAATCAAGCGCTTCTGCCTTCTCTCAGAGTTCAAAGTGCTGAGATACACAACTCAGCCATAAAAAACCAATCAGAGCCAGAAGCAGAGTCTTAGTACTGTCAATCATGCTCGTGTGTGTTGCTATTTCAAATAGAAGAAATCAATAAAGGGGTCAAATAATGAGAAGTGACTTGCACTTGTACTTATCAAGCCCAGAAGACTTGAAAGTACCTTAAAGTACATTCACAGGTTAATGTGAATTGTTTAATAAAGTCCTCAGTCATATATTTTCTATATCTACGTTAGACATATAACCATGAATGTATACATAGCACAATGTTTCCACTCAAATTGCTGGTAAATAGTCAGTTTTGCACTTGGCACCATCCAGCATTGGTGCTAATTTTTGAAATTTTCCCACTTACAAAAATTAATTCATCGTACATAGTCAGACCTCTACCGTGAGACAGAATCTAAGAAAAGTGGAAACAAATGAATTTATAAGTCATTAATTATTAACTTATTTTATGAAATAAGTATTTGATCATCTACCAACTAGCAAGAAATTTGTCCCTCACAGAGTCCTCCCATCCTGCACTCGGGGCCTATTTTAACTATACCAGTTTGAACTAAATACTAATATAGAAGACATATTTCCACACTCTCACACAATAAGACTTTAACCTGTATAGACCCTCTGTAGGGGAGGGTCTACAGGAGGACAACAGGCAAATAGATGTTAGGGAATAGCCTCATGTTGCTAGGCAACGACTTGCACTGAAGACGAGTCGTGTCTGGTTCTTCCAGCATGACGAAGACCCCAAACATACAGCCAGAGAAATTACAAAGTATTTCATTGTTCTGGAGGGGCTAAGACAGTCTTTGTATTTGAACTCAACAGAAAGACTTTGGAGGGAGTTGAAACGCCATGTTGCCAAGTGAAAACTGACAGATCTGGAGAAGATCTGATCAAGAACTATGGGAAACATCTGACCCCTGCAACTGTAATCAATGCTTCAGTACCACATCAAACACTTATTTCATTCCATAATATGGAAATGAATTATGTAAAAATTATACAGTGGAATCTAAATGATCATCTAAATTAAAGACAATCTAACAAGCCTTCAGATTTTTAGCCTTCACACAAAGAAATGAGATAAAATATCAATTGTATATATGTATATATTACTATAAATCCCTAATGCATGGTAGCAATTAGGCAATATCACCCAGCCCTGATAACAAGAAATGTGTTTATTTTTAATATGCTAAAAAACTGATAAACTGAAAAAATATTTTTTTAAATTATCAAAAGAAAATATTGGGGTAAAAGGAGGTAATATGACTGAACTGAGCAAACTATCTTCAGACATAAAATGGTTAAATGCAAAACGACCAGCAACAAAACAAAAATGAGGCTTTAAAAAAAAGTATGTGCTGATTTGGAAGTTGGATCTCTGGCTGCAGTGCTGGACACAACATTTAAGCACAAAATTTCACACTGACATCAAAAACACTTTCTTGGTCTTTTTAGTGCTTTTGTAAGTTTACATATTGACACCATTATCCCAGGTGATAAAGAGGTCAAGAAGAGGGAACTCTATTTAGATAAACCAATGCAGAAAATAAGGACAATGAGATATCTTGCCACCATATGGTTGTATCGTGCCCTTTCAATAAAATGGACAGTAGAGCCAACTCACTAGTGTATTAATGAACCCAGTGAGGGTCAGATACGAACTTTTCCTTATTCCTTGGGCCATATGCTTGGATTTGCTTTGATCCAAACCCAACAGAAAACCATAAAAACACCACTATGGCATAGCTCTGTTGTAATAGGAACAATCCATCCCTGCATTCAAAGCTTACATCTATTGTGCCGATTGTGATGGTGAATTATTATTATTTGATTCTTCAGTTATCTCAATATGCACCGTCATTTGCTGAAGCCCGAAGCATTTCCAAATCAGGACAGGGGGAGAGAGTCGGGGAAGGAACAGAAGGAAGAAGTGGGGCAAAAATGTGGTGGCATCCTGTTCAACACAACATGGGTGCTCCAAGTCAAAAGAAAATGAGAGTTGTGCAAACAGACAAACAAACCATCAGTCAAACTGGCAGCAATGAGAGCAGACAGTAAAATAAGAAACAACTGCATGGATGCAGAGACAGGCAGAGGGAAGTATGAAGAAGTTCAACAGTTTGGGAGGCAAATACACCCAAAAGCAATGACATGCATGGAGACTAAGGAGGTTCTGTTTAAGGCTTTTTGCGTTGTTTTCCATCAGGCATTAGAATTATTCACTGGAGCTGATAATGTGTGAATAATTAGTGAACAGGTTAGTCAAAAACCAAGGATTTAGGGATGTGAAGAGTTGTATGTGGTCTGTATGCGGGTTTTCCATTTCATCATTTGCCTTGACTCAACTCTACTGTCTTACTGAAGACAGAATCTCTTCAGGGTGGATCAGCTTCTTATTTCCCAATACTTTCTCAAGTTGATAAAAAGTTTGGACTAAAGATTTTTGCAAAGAAAGGTTTTATGTTTGTCATCCTAGTTTACTCAGACTTTCTTTGCAGAATGAGCCAAGCCACCAATGGAAAAGTCTCATACCAGCATGAGCGGAACTTTGGAGGAGCATGTGTGTGTTACCTCTTCCTTGGCCAGGTATGTGGCACACTGCACACAATAGAAGAGAACATCAGAGCGGTGACAAAGGAGAACAGAACCAGGTAGATAAGACCTTCTACTCCATCATAGCACAGCCCAGTCAAGGCCTGGACATAGTCCTTTGAAGAAGAGGAGAGGAGAGAAGAAATGTCAGCTGGGAAGCACGGATCAAATTTCTGTCATCAAACCAAGCAAACAGTGAGTCACCATGTGTAGGCTGCGACAGTCAACCAGGGCGGTCAGCTGGTGGAGACCAACCTCAGTAGAGTTAAGAACCGATTGGATTTGCTCCAGACTCTCCTGCACACATAACCAATGGTTTTCATACTGAACAGACATCTTGCTTTATGTGCATGTTCCAGAACTTCTTGAAATTTAGAAAATTGTTCATTTATAAACACAACCTTCAACATGCTGTAGTGGGATTTTTAAGGATATAACAACAGGAAAGTGGAAAATGTCTCTGTTGTTCACATTTCTACCATTTTACATAGTAGAAAATCACAAGAGATTTTCACATTTCCAAATAAATCTATCTAAATCTAAAAAAAAGTTTAATCTTGGTCTCATCTGACCAGAGCTCCTTCTTTGAAACACTCTTCCTTAAATAGACCATGATAACTGCTGGTCCTTTAAACAAATCCTCCATCCTGAGTTGTGAATCCTTGCAACTCCTCCAAAACCACCATTGGCTTCTGAACTATTTCCTTAAATACTATCTTCCTTGCATAGCCTGTAACTTCCCCTTAATGTTCTCCCTGATCTGTCTTCTTGCTCCTAATGATGCGGTTTATTTGCTAATCTTCTCTAACAAATCTCTGAGGCCTCCAGCTATACTGGATTTTATTTAGAGATATCAGAATCAGATGGCCTCTGAAAACAAGTACACACCAAATCTTTCAGATAGAAGTTTAAAAAAAGGGGAAAAATCCCTCCTTTGTGTTGATCTATCACATAGAATCTATTTGGTAGTCTGTGGTTGTAGTTCAGGGGATGGGCATACATTTCCAAAAACACTGCGACTTATAGTCTGGAAAATACGGTAGTTGCATTGTAAGCAAATGCACCTTGGCAGTGGCATAATCACGTGTTGCTGATCTCAGTAGTTCTGCCACATCATCCTGCATCTCCACCAAAGCTTTGTGACTCCCTGACAGCCTCTGCGAAACAAACAGGGAAGTTTTTCAATAGGAAAGAGGTCAGAGAAAACATATTACTGTGAAACTGATTAGGAAAAGCCAGAACACTGAGAGACATTTTTACCTGCTGGAACGGGTTCACTTTTCCAGAGCTGCACCTCAGGTAGTACTGCAGGATATCTGGCAAGGCATTCATAGATAGTATACAAATATCCAATCCATTTGCATTATGCAGTTTTATAATTAAAAAAAGGTAAAGTTTGCATTTATTAGAAGTTTACATGGCCTGCTTGTTCCTGCTGAGGCATGTTTACAGTTATACCATTATATTGGTGAGTTAGAGTCTTTATTTGTTTATAAAGATGTTGCTCTTATGATCATCATTGACAAAATTAGGCTTTTTGATAAGATTTACAGAAATACCCTTTAATATCAAAGTGAAAACAGATTTCAATTAATATAATATAAAAGTAACATTATATTTTATTTCATTTTCATCTTGTCAAAATTATGTTTGACTGGAACATTGAAGGTTTGAAGCAAGTAGATAGAGTGGAAACTCTATAGAGAACAGCACTGTGTGAAAAGATGAAGTTGAACTAAGCAGAAATATGACACAAAGGGGAAGGAAGAAATTAGCTCAGATTGCAAAATAAAATAGAAACACAACTATTCTCCGGATTCGTTCTGTGATGCCTTTGAGACGAGCCAAAGCAAGAGAGGATTTTTGATGCACAGCAAAATGCATTGCGAGACAGTATGAGCTTTTAGATACCAGATTGTCAATCAAACAAAATCCCACTGGATGTGCTCAGCCACACACAAAGAAATGAACCACTTTCTAAAAATAGAAGCTATAGCAGCTTCAGCTGCCAGGCTGACACGTCTTCGCTTCTTTGTCAACCGAAATGGACGACAGTGTTCAAATGCACAAACTATCTGCTGGAGATCAGCACTGTTGTATTGTTTTGGTGTACGTACCTTGATCGATGACTGCATTGTCTTTGGTTACACTGGTTATGTAGGAATCTGGAGAGATGCAGAAGTCACTGGCCGACTGTGGGAGAGCCAAAAACAAATCAGACATCCAGGGATTACAGCACTGTAGAGACAGAGAGCTCAACTTTGTTACCATGGTTAACTTACAGCAGCGACACCCAGCTCAAGACCCAGAGAACCCCAGCTGATTATCAGAGTCAAAACCCCAAGGAAGCATACTCTGGAGGACGGAAGAAAAAAGAAACCCTCTGAAAAACCGATAATAAACTTGATGGCCATGCCACATCATGGTTTATACATTTCAGAGAACAAGTAGGGCTTGAATCAGTCCAATCAGAGCAGTTTGGGGGTGATGATGCAACAGACCGTACCCAATCAGAGTACCCCGAGAGTTGCGAATGAGCCCAAAGAGCACCAGCAGACAAATGAGAACATCAAACAGCAGCAGACCAAGGTAACCCAACCACCTACAAGGATACAAAAAGGAAGGAGTTAATCCTCAAAAAGCATTTCAAAACCTAAAACATGAGCTTCTCATTTACATTAATCAGGCAAAAAATATCACCTTTATATTCTCACTTTGTCTTACATGTTATGCTATTAGTTCAAGGCACAGTACGAAGAGTAATGGAGACCAGACACAACCCTGTTCTGAGTATATTTCTGATATAAAACTGTTCAAGAGGCCAATACTGAATTTAATTCCAACAGTAGAATTATTTTTATTGGATTTTTATGATATTAATAACCAGATTGTGTAGACCACATCTCTATAAGACCTAATCAAGAACATTTTATTTAAATGGATGCATTTTGAATATAAGAAGCCAATGAATTTTTTAAAAAAACAACTTGTTTTGCTCAGGCAGATCATGGCGTGCTTGGTCCAGACCCAACGGTCCCGTTTAATTAAAAAAATAAAACCTAAAAAAAGTTCTGGAAAAAGGGAGAGAAGACAGCTGTGGCAGAACACATGGCTGGGACAAAAAGCACAGAAATCAGACATCAGAGGCGGCAGAGGTCACCCTGCACATTTTTGTACAGAACATTAGTGAAAGTGCTTAATTTGTTTGTCATAGGCTATCTTTGGTTGATAAAAAAGTAAGTTGTTCCTAAGTGTGCCTGTCAAATTAACTGACCACATCACTGAATTAAGCTCACAAACAAAGGAAGGAGGTAACAATTTTATGCCTGATTAGAGTGTTTTATTATGATCAATAAAGTAAATTAAGTTTTGTTGACATAGTGTTTCTTAAATAAATACAAAGTATATAATATGTCTGTGAAAGATAGGACTGGATTTCTAACTGTTTTATTTACTGACCTGTAAAAGTCAAAGGCCTCAGTTTTTTGGGCTAAGTCTTCCAGCGAGATGTCTGTGTTGGACCAGAAGGGGACGTCCACTATCAGCCTCACCAGCTCGTCCAGCTGTCCTTGCAGCTTCTGGATGATGGCCACATAGTCCGTCTGATCCTGGAATGTTGTCTCTAACTGGGCCAAGTTCTCCTCCACTGTCTGGTTTAAGGCTAGGGTATTGTCTGACACCTAGAAACAAAATGAAATAACATTCACTCAAGTGTACTTCTATTCATATTTTAGGGTTTTGCTTTTGTAGGCTCACCAGTTTCTCCACTCCAGAAACAGTGCGGTTGGCATGGCGAAGGGAGTAAGCCAGGCGACTGGCTCCATCACTTGACTCCCCATTTCCATAGAATCCAACAGCGATTCCAGCACTGGGGGAAAAATGGCAACCAATACATGAATCTTTGACTGAGTACAAACCTTTCATACCAATAGGCCATCTAAAAAAATTTTTTTAAAAGCCTTCAATTTTTTTTTTACAATTCACCTGGTGAGCAGCATTACATCATCTTGAAAAACTGAAGGACACGCTAAGTTGTTGGCTGCAGTTCATCTGCACCTTGCCTTGCCTCAACACCAGAAGGCAGCACTGAGTTCACTGATTCATGTACACACACACACACACACACACACACACACAGTCTACACAATAATTGGGTCACCAGACCACAAATAATGCGATCCCCCTGCAGGGCTCTGCCCACAGTCATTCAGCACACAGGCTACAATATTCGGGGCTCTTCACTCATAAAGATTTTAACCAACATCATAAACAATGGGAATTTTTTTTTTCTATTTTTCTGCTGTAGCTAATCTATTCCTCCACCATGCTGCCTCCTTTAACCCCAATATCCTTTCAAACCCCCCCAACCAGCACCCACTGAAAGCTTGTGTGTCTCCCCTCTGACTCTGCCTTCCTTTTGTGTGCTTTATGTACATAAGTCTACTCTACTCTCTGACACCGCTGCTGTCTGCATGCAAGCACTAGACAGATTTGAAAAGATACATTTCCATTGATAAGACAATTCATTCAGGCCTATTACATATTTATTAGCGCCATTATACCTCTGTCTTTACAGTGTGCATAGCCTCATGTATCTGTTTGCCCTCTGTGCATTGTTAAACACATGAGCTACTGAAAGAAGTCCACATGTTGTTGACCCAGAGACAAAAATAAGATCAAGACTCAGACTCACAAGCACACACATGTGGGCAAAAAAATGCAGTAAAGCATAAATGTTCTGATCTAAATTTGATTCTCAGTTAGGATGTCAATTAAAATCATAAAGTATTCAAAATCTAAAAAGATCTCTCTCCCTCTGCCATACACAGGTACACAGAAATCTTACATGACTGTATAATTCATTTGTCATCTCTGCATCAAATCTGCTGCTGTCTCCATGACAACCTTTCTCAGCCAGGGACAGGGGCGAAATGGAGAGATAAAGTAAATAAAGGCTGAAAGAGATGGAGAAGCAGGAAGGGAGGAAAAGTCTCGAGCTTAGAAGCCAAGAGGAGATGACAGTAACTAAAAGAGGAATAAATTCACATTCATAAACTGTCCAGCATCCTTGTCTGCACCATTGTTTGCTAATTTGTTATCTTTTCATGACTTCCTTGTCACTGTCGCTGTTCTCTCTATTTTCCTAATCTGCTTGGTTTCTCTCTGTAGCGCTTGTACCTAATAATAAAGGGTTTGAAAGAACAACACATTTGTAACCATGGAAAACTATTTAGGAAGAAATTGTGCCACTTGGAAGATTAACTATAACTGGTCATATTCTTACATTTGTTGAAAACGTTAATTACCGTTTCCTTTGATTTTCTTCCCCATTTGTCATCACCTGTGGGTCTCTGTTCTATTTTGGCTCCATGTTGAGCACCTGTTCTTGTTCCTTTCAGTGATTAATGTGGCAAATATTGGCTCCAAAAAATAAGAACCTTTGCGACTCAGAGCTTGGATCTTGTGGGTGAGACACTTAAACTCCTCCACTTTGTACAGGATGTCTTCTAAATGTTTAATGTATTAAAGGCCACTCTTAATCACTTTGTAAATAAGGTATTTTTTTCTAAATGTTTTGACTAATATCAAGTTGTATCTCAGTCCTACTTTTACGGCTATTTGCTTTTTGTTATTTTTCTTCCTTTATTATGGAAGAAAACTCATTTGCATACTTTGAAGTTGGTTCTGAATGTAGATGAGATGAAAGAAATGGTTTTTGGGCTTTTGTAGACAATTTGAATAGATATAGATAACTAATTATTGCACAACCCAGCTGAGGGTTGAAATTATTTATCAGCAAAATTCCATTGGTCAGACTATTGCACACTTCAGCCTCCTTGAAATACATGTGACCACAAAATGTTATATCAAATATATTTAGTTTGAGAGGCATATATATTAAACAACATTTGAATTATTAATACATTTCCTTGATGTTTTCTCAGTGAAAGAGAAATAAAGCTAATTAGTGTCACTAGTCCATAAGGGGATAAGCCTAGTCAAAAAGATATTTCAGGGAAAAAACAAGATCCAGTCGTTTAGCCTCTCACCTGCAGACGAGCGTGGCGATGATGACGCACCAAGCAGTGCAGCAGCAGTCAGCACTGGGCGGCTGGGAGTGAGAATGGGAGTGTGAGGAGTCTTCCTTCTTGCATCTCCGACAGCAAAGCCAGAAGGAGTAGATGAGGAGGAAAATGAGGTCCAGGCCCAAACACAGCACGGCCATAGCACCGATGAGCAAAATAGACTAAAGAGAAGGAGGAGAAAGAAATAAATTATTGGCTAATGCAGTCAGTAAATATGAGAATCCTGTTCCAGATTTATCACAGGAAAGAGGACCATTCTGGATGTGGGTACTGAATGCAGGAAGCCTGTCAGCAAACAGGAGCAGCAACATTTCACACTTCATATAAATTGAAGGAATGAATGCTGATCTATATTCTGCAGTAAACTATGACTGGAAACTCCATTAAGAGAAAGAAAAGGAACTCATACTCTCAACAGAACTGATCACACACAGAGCTAACATAGCTAACTTTGAGAGTGGCTGTCAGCCAACAACACAGACTGTGCAGATGTCAATAAAAATTGATTAAAAAACATTCAAAGGCAACATAATGCATCTAATAAATGACATACACCAGAAATTTAACAGAACTGATCAAATTGAAGAGCAACATAATCAGGGAGCTCTAAATGTTTCAAACTGTTTCTGTGTTTGTTTTACTTTCAAAAATCAAAATTGATTAACGTGGAAAAGAAAGAGCCTAAAACGAGAACAGTTGTAACAGTTCTCCTGTTGCAACAACAGTTGTTCCATTACAGCAACTGTTGCCCCGTTACAGTAGCAGTTGTCATATTACAGTAACAATTCCCCCGTTACAGTGACAGTTGTCCTGTATTCTGTGTGTAATAACACTTGCAGCTCTGGCTCCAGCTGCAGTCCGCTGCTTGTGAATCTCCCTGAAATGTTTGAGTGGGCTTTGCTTTACTGTTTGCTGTTATCCCTGTTGCTTGTGCACATTTCCCCCCTAAATTGTTTTCCTACCGCTGAACTTTCTATTACAATGGTTGGATACAAAAACTCTGTGACGAGACTGCCCCCTAATTTACACTACATCCGACTCCGCTGCGTAACAAATTTCCACTGCTTTTGTCGGTTCTCTAAGAACCAGCAAATGCAGTCGGTGAACATTATATTCAGCAGGCCTCTGAACATAATGTAAATGAGGGGTTTATGGTAGCACAAAATCTAAAATTTCAATATTGATACATGAGATTGGAAGCACAGATGCTCCACATTTTTTGCCAAATCTTGGCCTGATACACAAAGTCCACAAAAGAATCCACAGTTCTACACTGGTCTTTACCACTGGGAAGAGGAGCATTTAGGATGTGGATACACAACGCAGGAAGGCTGTTAACTGATATGGGCAGAAAGCAGATAAACAGACAGACCACATAACTGAGTTGAGAAATGCACGAGCAAGTGGAGTTTCTCTCTTTAGCCTTTTATAGTTTGGAAATTGTGGTTATCTAGTGAATGTTTGATTCATACAAAACATAAGCATCACATAATGATGCATTGTACTGCACTTATACCTCAAATAATCACACCTCCATGGAGGGAAAGGAAGAGAAGCTGTTCAAGAGCTGCATGAGATAAATGCCAACCACACAAATCACTCAACCTCCAAAAGCTTTGAAGTGAAGAACAAAGTTGGTGAGACTGCCCCGATACATTAACAGTTGTTCCAGAGAGAAGTGAGTTTAGAAGACAAAGGACACGTGGAAGTATTTGTGGGAAAATGTGCTGTAATTTTTTTTAATGCTTATCAAGATACCAATAAGCGAATTTTCCTTCCCTTTCTGGAGTAGCCATTGCAGGGCAAAACCATGCAGACACAGGAGGATTCCAACATTTCTTCTGAGACAACTTACAGCAGACAATGATCTCCTGCATCATCATCCTGAAACGGCAGCAATGCAATTGTAGGGGCCCCCGGAGAGTAACACTATCTGACAATGTCTTCAAGACCTTCCTAGAGTTTCCTGCAATTCCAGAGTCTGGAAGGCTTTTTGTATTGATTGTAAATTTCTCCAGTTAACTTGCACACCAGGTTTAGTGGGCTGGGAGTTATATTTATGCTTATAAGAACAATGCTGACACATGTGTATTTTATGGCAGGAGTAATCTCGACAACATGGTAAATATTGTCGACAAAAGCCATCATCATGGCTTTTGTTAATGAACACTAAAGTATTGATAGCACTGCTTGTTGCAAACATTATTAATTTTTACTAACGAGTTTTGTTCACCCTTGGTTTACTGACTCTTCTCTGCCAAGTTGAAGACGATGACCAGGGTAGATCAGGAAAAGACCCTCATGGGACAGGAGAGGGAACATGTCTGTCTCTGGTATTGTCCTGTGTTATCATCTTGTGTTTTGGTAAAGCTATGCTTATCACCAGCTGCGCACTGTTGTGCTTCTTGAGTCTAAAATGCAAATAAAATATAACAAACAAAACTAATAAAGCTTTTACACCTTTATTAGCTGTGAAAGATTATGAAGTAAACAGAATGTTGTTGTTTTTTTTTAAAAAAACACAACATTCCACACTTGGGCTTAACTCTTTAAAATTTAACATTAAATAACCACAAACCTTAACTTTTAATTAAAACCTCAGTGGCGACCAACTCTCTGCAACAGCCTCCTCCTCCTCTCACTCAGTTTGACAGCGCCTAGATTAACTGTGGGGCTGACAAACCGTCAGAGCAGATTAGGTGAGGCTCAATTAGATGCTAATGAGCATGGTGAGCTTGGCTATAAATGAGTCTGCCCACTTTGATGTCACCATGTGAGAGTGAGCATTAAGCCTACCAGAGATCAGCTTGCCAGGTGGAGGAGGGGCCAGCACAGCAAACACCAAGGCACAGTGATCTACTTTCAATCTGTCCTTGTGTGTGTGTGTGCGTGTGTTGCTGACAAGATCAATCACTTCCACTTCTGTGAGTCGTCCTTGCTCTGCCAGACTGTGTGTGTGTTATCATCTGTAGATTGGACTCCTGCAGGACATGTACACAACTTTTTCCACCCCTTGGCAGTGACTGACCTCACACGTATCCTGGCTGTATTTAGTTCTTCTGTAAGTTCAAAGAGCAGCTACATTCAAGTCTTTTGTTTGTCCTATTCAAAGAGCAATGAGATCATTTCTCCCACTATGTAAACTGTAGTCTACAAGCTAAAACTATAATTACTGACTTTGCTCTCCACAGCTGGGAATATGTGTTATTTTGAATCACATGGTTCCACTTTAATGACCTGCAGATGTTTAACTGTAGCTGACTGTGCAATTCAAACAGATGAACGCAAACGCAGAAGCGTAGACGCAGGGCCTGTGTGCTGTAGCTTCAACAGCCTCGGGATAACAGTTCCTATTTCAGCATTCCAAGAAGAAAAAGATGTGAAACATTCTTATAGATTAATGTTTCATCACTATAAAATGCTGAGGACATTCAGTGCATTGCAAAAATGAACCATGCCCAGCAGAAGCAGGTTTATTCTGTGGGGCTGCTGTTCTCCAGCAGGTAAGAGCTGATGGGATAATGGATGGAACCAAAAACATGGCAGAAAAGGAGCAAAAAACAAACCAACAAACAAAAAAAGAGACGGGTGAATGATAGGAAGTTATCCTGCTTTAATTCAGAGTGTAACATTTCATGTATGTTATGGTGCAGTTTTGAGCTGTGATCATATAGGCTAAAAAATTATGGCAAATTCAAAAAGCATAAAAAGTAAAGACACATTTTTAAAAACTCACAATGGTTCAGTCAAAGTCCAGACTTAAATTCAATTGAGGATCTATGAATAAATATTAAAATGGCTATTTTCTCACTTTATATCCAAAATGATTGACTTTGTGCTATTTTGCAAACAATATGGAGAAAACTGTTACAGAAATACCTCAATACCCTGCATCATAACTGTATACTCAGAATACACTTTAAATAAAATTCTTGTTTAAAAAAAAAGACAAAAAACATGTTTCTTTTCAATTCATAGCTACTTTGTTTTGGTCTGTGAAATAAGATCACAAAAAAATACATTGATATTTGTGAAAAAATTCCAAGGGGTTTGGATTTTTTTCCAACATGGAGCATAAAGTAAAAGTGTGAGAGAAACAAAACAAAACTGAGTGAACCAGAAAGAAAAGAACCTACACTGAAGACGTTCTCTGTTCATTTAGAATGTGTCATGTTGTAATATGGTGATGGATAAGGTGGACAGGGGACACTGTGCAGATCTTTGTTTGAGTGCTGAGTGGATGCTTGAAAACCTTTGAGAAAGACTTACTGAGACTCTCTAAGGGCTGGCTCCAGTGAAGAAGTAAAAGAAAAAAAATAATGAAAGAAAGAATGCTTTAACTATCAACTGCCACACCACCACACTCCCTCCCCTAGTCCGGTCCCCCCTTCTTCGTCTTCTCACTCTTTCACTCCCACAGCCTAACCAAAATTAACAACTTCACCCTGTGAAAAACACACAGACCCTGAGGGAACCGAGTGACCCCACATCAATAAACAACACAAAGACACATATGCTCTGACATAGAAGACCATCTTACTGTAAGTAAACATATAGCTTACTGTTCTGCACATAAAAAAGCTCGGGCATACAGTCACGGTGCTCACTGACATGGAAACAGCCTCATCTGCTGAAATATGTCAGTATGTAATTAGTCTGAAAAGGGGGTCCTTAAAATTCCAGTGGGTACACACAGGGACACAAACATGCACAAAGGCTCTTAGTTAAACACTGAATAGCTCACAGGAAGTGGCTATTTGGCAACTTAGCAGCACCTCCCATGGCTCATCAAGTCTCTTCACCCTCTCCTCTCATCTCAAGCTACTCTTTTTTTATCTTGTTTTTCATTCCTCCTCCTCTGCCTGTGTTTCCCTCCAGTTCTCATCTTCCCCCCCTTGTTCATGACTGTGGGTGCCTTCTCACTCTGAGCTCTTCAACGTCCACGCCCCCACTCCCCTCCTCCTCTCTTCTCAGTGCATGCCAGCCATCTGCAGAAACTGAAATGGGTGCTTCTAAATGACGCGTCACAGTTTTGTGGGAGCTGCCAAGGCTAAACAACCTGGTGCAGAAACCTGGTAGTCACCTTGTCCAGGAATTAGAAGGAAAGGGAGTAAAATCAAATGAGCTTTCGGTTTTTCTTGTTACCATGGCAGCGCCCCGTATGGCTGTGGCTGCTTCGGCTCTTGATAACACAGACAATTTGTTGGTTAGGTCAGTATTTTCTGTAGCAACGTCATCTGGACGCCATAAATTCGGAGACACAGACCACTCTACAAAGTTCTGTTCTGCTACGCCAGTTGGATCAGTTAGACCAAATTATATACACAGCAGCAGAATCTTCCAACAGCCCAGGGCCACAGAGACACCGGAGGAGGCTTGAGAGAAAACAAAAGCGTTGGTGTCATGTTGGACTTACAGATAAGCTAGAAGATAACCTTTTCCAATTGCAGCTCCCCTCTATCTTGCTTGTTAATGTACGCTCCTTTGAAAGCAAAATGGACATCCTGAAGCTGGATTTAACCACCAAAAGGGAAACAAGAAACTGCTGGGCTAACATAAGTCATGCTCTCACTGGTAAATCCCGGGTTGGTGTTTGCATTTACATTAACCACAGAAGATGTAACAACGCCACCTTGGTATCCAGTCATTGCTCTGTGGACATTAAGTTCAGAATTGTGGGGTGCAGACCCTTCTACCTGCCCGGGGAATTCACCACTGTTATCATTGTTGCTGTCTACTCGCATCCCTCCCAACCACTGCACTAACACCTAGAAAGCATTGAGTACTCTCTTAACATACCAGGAAGGTGTTTTTATTGTTGCTGGAGACTTTAACCAAGATAACATGAAGAATGTTCTTCCCAGAAGGCCTTCAGACCAGCTCCCTGCCCCCATCTCGACTCTTCAGATAATCTTTCAATTATGCTCATCCCAGCATACCAACCCTGGCTCACCAAAGAAAAGCATGTGGTGAAGTAGGTAAGAGTATGTCCTGCGGGAGCTATGTCTGCACTGCAGGACTGTTTTGAGTGCACAGACTGGGGCATGTTCAGAAAGGCCGCTACACACAACCAACACAGTGTGGCATCTGTGTCATACTGCATGCAGAGATGCACTGAGAAGGTTACACCAACACAGACAAGACTCATTGGCCAACCAGAAACCTGGGATGACTGAGGAGGTGTATTCAATACTGAGGCAGTGAAAAGCTGCCTTCAAATCTTGTGATGCGGTCGTACTTAGATCAGCGAGGGCCAATCTAAACCACATCATCAGGACAGCAAAACATGCCATCCAAAGTTTCATGATCCCAGCAACACCAGACCACTATGGCAGGGCATCCAGTCTAACATCAGATTGCTCACCACCAATAATACCCCCACTAAGATTGTCTGAAAATATATTATTAACAATGTATTATTATTGTACATTTGTGTATTTATAGGCACACTTGGGAATTTTATCTGTTTTGTTTTTCTCTCTTTGCCAAGAGATGACATGTCATTACTAATTTTATTTCACTATTGTGTCTTTGTGCAGCGACAATAAAATAAGTCTGAGGTGTGAGATAAAACTGTTCTCTAAAGCAGTTTTGCCGACTTCCTCAATGAATAATTGAAAAGTACTAATTCCCTTTTATTCACATTGCTAATTATAGGAGCTCTTTTCTATTAATCCATCAAATTTTAATCTAAAAAAATGTGAAAATATGTAAAATCCAAAAGAAATCCAAAAGAAAGGGAAAGAAAGGAAAGTCAATTTTGTTATCAATATTGCTACGAGTTTATTGAGTTCATAATATACAGTCTTTTTTGCCACATCCCTTGCACAGTTAAGACTCAAATATGAATTCTGACTGGACAAATTACTAAGTTAAATTTAACTTCTATATTTCTAAAGTACTATCCTCTAATCAGGACTGTATTTTGATCAATGTCTTCCACTTGAGTAATCCATGTAACCTCAGAAGATGCAGTGCATGTACAGTTGAAATCAGAAGTTTAAATTCACCTCATAAAAAGTTACATACCTTTTTTTCTCAGTGTCTGAAGTTAAATCAGAGCCAAACATTTCTTGTTTTAGGTCAATTAGAATTGCCAAAATTATTTCTATTTTCTAAATGCCACAACAGTGAGAGAAACAATATATCAGAAATCCATATGTAGAATAATTAACATCTCTTTAAACAATGAGAGAAAGCCCAGATGATAATGTCATAGCTTTGGAAATTTGGAATAGGTTAACTGACACATTTGGAGTCACAACTGTGGATAGTTTGAAACCATATCTGGAAAACACACTGCTTTGCTGTTTGACACAATGGGAAAGTCGAAAGAAACACCCAAGAGAATTGTGCGGCTATAAAAGTCTGCTTCATCTGGGATGGTCTGGGAACAACAGATGCTTGAAGGTGCCATGTTCATCTGTTCAAACAGTTATATTTAAGTGATCATTGTGAGGATGTTGATGTGGTCAGTTTAGTGTAAACAATTGGTAAATGGCTGAATTAAAAACTGAGACAACAATGTTTTTTTTTAAAAAAAAAAAACATTTTATTTTGCCTGTATGTATTTATACTTTTAATGACTTTGAGAACAAAGACGTGTTCAAGAACTGAATACTGGAGGAGCACCGATCATCCCAAGAAAGAACTTTTCAGAGTTGAGCGAGTTCCTGAGCGATATGGTAGATCACCATCTGATTATTGATCCAGAGAGTCTGACTCCCTCACATCAGTCTCAATGAGAGCAATGGATGCTTGAAAAATATAACGACAGTTTTTGAAACACTCACATCCACCACTGTTGTGACCCCCATTAAAATATATTTTCAAAAAGATTTAAATTGTGTTTGTTGAAAAAATGATATTTAAAATACATTAAAATAGTACTTTTCTTCTCTTGCTGTCACTCCTTACATTACAGTATTTATTTTCATGAACCTTCTTTCCTGGTCTTCTTCTGTCTCTGTGGCAGCAGCAGTGCAGCAATCCGACTGCAGGAGAACAGAGAGGGGAAAGGGTTGCGATGAAGAAAAAGATTCAAACTCAAAGCTCTGGAAAAACACCATTTCAATAATTTATGAATTTTAAAAATATTTAATTGATGTGTAGACAAAAAATATCTATGTTTTCTTTTTTTCTGGCAGAAGAGATTGGGGGGGGCCTAACCAACTAGCTAATTTCACTAAAATGTAACATAAATACAGAATGAAATATGAAATTAAAACACTTTAGACGATAGGTCAAACCACTAACCTGGTTATCTCAAACAGTTTGCCAGGAAGAAATCCTAAAAAGCATTGAATTAAATTAAAATATACTTACTCCAGGACAGATGAGCGCTCCAGCGAGAAACAAGATGGCGATGAGATGTACTGAAAGTGTTTTGAAGAGTGTACCATGTGACCATGACGTCACATTGACATGCCTGCATCTCATTTTTTTAAGTTTAAATAATGTATTACTTCTGTTTTTGAAGTTGAAGTTCATGTAACATTTTATTAACTTGAATTTGATCATGTGTTACATCAGTAAATAATAATTTTTTGGCAATTCTGACTAAACAAGAGAAGTTTTGTCTGATTTAACTTCAGACAATCTATTTATTAGGTGCATGTAAACATGTGATTTTAATTGCATATCCAGTGAGGAATGAGACTATTCCATTAATAAAGAAATTGTTTTGCACTTATGTATCGATCCAAATGGTTGGGTGGTAACAGCTTCAGAGGCCTGTTTCATGGACATTTAATTCATTTCCTTTCAGGAAGCTCTGATCAATGCCTAGGGAACCCACAATCCCATTGACCCACAGAAACCACTCAGCCAGTCGGCTGTAATTTAACAGCGTGTGCATGTGACAGGAGGCGGAACAATAACGTGACGCAAAGTGCTACACAACAAAACAAAGAGAGTGAAGTAATTAGTCTCTTGTATTTTCTCCTCACCTTCTGATACTCTGAGTCCTCTGGTCTGAAGTCACTGCTCACCATTTGAAATTCCAGGTTAAAGTGAGGTAACCGGTGAAGCAGATTCACCCACCAAGGTGGAGAGTAGTTGACCACGGCCGCCATCCTGATGCAGCTGCCTGCAGACTGTGACTTCGCTCTGCAGCCTGATTCTTCACTGGGACGCTGCAGAACATTTCAGAGTTCACACACAGTGAAGAAATGTGTCTCATGTAAATTTCGCTGCTAAAACAGTCTTCTGCAGAAATCTAAATGCAACAATCAGGCATAACATTATGACCATCTGCCTAGTAGTGTGTTAGTTCCCCTGTTTGCTGCCAAAACAAGCGCTGCCCTTTCACATAAACTCCTCTAGACACCTGAAGGTGTGCTGTGGTATCTGCCAAAAAGTTGTTCTAGTTGTTCCGTGGAGACAGCATGGATCAGTGTTGTTTGTCCAGCACATCCCACAGACAATAAATCTGACTGAGATCTGGGAAGTTTTGAGGACAAAATTGTTGTTGTGCTCTTTACAACTTTGCTGAACCAAAGTTTGAGATAGAGAACCTTCTGTGATAGAGAAAAATTTTTCTGTTGAAACTGGGCACAACCATCAGAGAGCACAGCTTCAATGAAATGGTGTATGTGGTTTACAACAGTGTTCAGGTATGTTGTACATATCAAGGGAGTCCTACCATCATGCTGTGTGTCTGCCTTTTATTTTTAGAAGCATGAGAATATACTGATTCATTCAAATGCTTCACTGTCCTTGACCTGGTGGTTGCGTTATTTTGCGATTAATTCAGCAAAATTAAAATTAATATCTGTTCATTAGAAAATTCTATGCAACTTGTTGCTTCTTTATAAACATAAAAACAAAAACAAAACGAATAAATTCTACACTCTTCATTTTGATGCATACAACTCATAGCTGGATAACAGTAATTCATTTCCTCACTGGACAGATCCATGTGGCTTGTGTTTTTTTCTTAATACCTTGCAAGAGTCAGCGTGATGGAAGCTTCAATTCTACATTGATGGCGTGATGATAACATGACATGTTGACAATGTTCAAAGCAGGTCATTGAACATCTATAGCCTCACACTGCTTTTGGGAGCTTTGTTGCCTTCTCATAATGCATAATAAGGCCACAAGTTCCCCAAGTAAGCAACAAACAAGAATCCAGTCATCCAGGACACAAAAGAAAATGTGACTCTGCAGAAGAGACCCCCTTCTTCCACAGTTAGGCCCAGTCCTGATGCTCGCATGTACCTCACTGACTCTCTGGGTGGTGGGCAGAGGTTGGCTTGGGAAGCACAACTGGTTTATAGCCGTTAATAAACTGGGTATCACTGATGCTTTTCTATCAGAAGCAGCGTTCACCACTGCAGAACAGGAACACTCAATAAGAGTTGCAGCATTGGAGATGCTCTGACCCGCTTATTTACCCTTGTTCAATTTGTTGGACTCACCAACATCTCATAATTCTAATACATTCACTTTAAGGACAAAATGTTCACCATTATATTCCACCACAATCAAGGTTATTTACGCCACACATCAGTGATCATAATGTTATGCGCAATTGGTGTGATTACCTCATCACACGGGGATATGGAAAAGCATGAAGCCAATATGAAGCATATTCTGACCAGATAAAGTCAGTGTACTGTAACAGCAGCTGTTTCACTGTCAGGAAAAAATGTTGAGTTTTGAAGAAGAGTCGCGTGCAGTCATGAACCTGTGAGGCTAAAATTATGCATTTTGACATTTGACTTGCATTCGATGAAAAGCCACAGAAGTGATGATGAAATGGATGACTGCAGGGTTTCTGCCTGATATATTTATTATGCAGCAACACAGTCACAACGGAGGGAAATCTGTCTGATAAGATGAAAAAAATGATCTATGAAATGCATCACTGAAGGAGGCATGTTAAAGACAACATTCTTGGGGAAAATCGTATATATTCTGAATGGTAAAATTATGGTTGGCGTTTCTCCCGCATCACTCAGCTTGCAGCCGTGGTGCAAATCTCAGGCTCCGTAGCATAAATCAGGAGAAATGGCCGTTAAACGCGGCCCGACGCGCCTCCTCATCAAGTACATTGGAGCAAACACATGTAGGTCAGCTCAGCAGAGGAAATACTGTCATGAGCAGGATGCGAGGTTGTTTATTGTCCCAGTCGATGGGATAAAAAAAAAATCAAAACAAGGTTTGGAAACCCCTGGTTGGCTGGCTTCATCCTGCTTTGTGATTATTAAAACTACCGCAATGACTGAGCCGTCAAAGCAAAGATGGGGAGAAAAATGCAGCAAACAATGAATTTGCTGGCATGTTGAGTGTGGGTGAACAGAAATACCACCTACCTAGTGAAGCACAAGCGGGCGCAGAATCTCGTTCAGCGGCTTATTTCTTCTTTCCGGGAGAGCAGAGCGGCGTGTACCTCACCTTTTGTCTTCCTGATCCCGTGATGGTGGAGCTGGATGTGAAGACCGCAAGCTGCTGCGGCATCAACGCGGCTGGACCGAGCTAGCTGCGACGAGCCAGTCGGCTACAGTCCGGACCGCATCGAAAAGAACGCAAAAACCTTCACGCATTTTCCCCCAAAACAACACCGTTTCGACTGCACTCCCCTGCGGCAGATGAAGGGTTAAACTATTTGACCCAAAAGCTTAGCTATGTGGTCATGTATTTATTGAGTTTTACAGTTTGCCGATACCGTAGCTGTCTTTGCTTCCACGACGAGGGTCGGTTCGGTACATTTAGCGCTTATATTGTTGGAGCCTGAAGCAAACGCGGTGTGTAGAAATCCCCGGAGGTTGGGGCTTTGCGGCAAGCTTTGCCACTCTGGACATCTCTGCTCGTGATGAGTAAATGCGCAAAAATGGCTCCCCCTGACGTTGAAACGATGGTAGTACAGGCTACAGAAAAACGAGTAGGATAATGGATGGATGCTAAAAAATATAACTAACTTAGAATATAGCTTAGAATTTTATATTGATTCATTTCAAGAACTTTTATCACAAGGTAACACTAACACATTATATAGATTAACTGTATGATGGGTGATGGGTGTTTGAAACCTTTTATTTCTGTTATTTATCATTATTTTCTGCTCACAATTAATAAAAACATATTTAGAAATAAAATATTATATCAGACCAATAGAAACCATTTCTGAAAACAGAATTAATGAAAAGTATCTTCACTATCTGCTGAAAGTTATTTTTCAAAAGGTAATTTTAATCTGACAAGACAGATTGGAAAGTACAGTGTAACTTATTGAATATGATGGCAGAAATCAGTATTGCTATCATTCACCTTCTGGGATTTTTTACCCTTTTATCGACCTTACAAAGCAGTCATAATAAACAAAATGTCATGATAAACAAAACAACTGCAAACGCCTTTTAAAGTCAATATGACAATGAATTTAGAATAAATAAAGTACTTTTGAGCTGATTTCCCCAAAACAAAGTCAATTCTTTAAAAAAAATAAATACAAAACTACTTGTTGAATAGACAAAAACAAACAAAAAAATAACCAAAAAAACCCCAAACATGTTTGGTTTAGCTGACTCATTGTCTTGCTGGAAAAATAACTGTCTTAGCGTTCCCACAGCATGATCCTGCCCCCACCATGCTTCCCAGTGGTGATGTATTTATGATATTATGTAGTGTTCGGTGTCTCCCAATCGCAGAATCTTGTTTGATGACCAAAAGGTTCCATTTTTGTCTAATAAGACCAAAGAACCTTCCACTTCACTCGAGTCTCCCACATGCCTTTGAAAACTCTAGTTGAGTTGATGTGAGTTTTCTTCAGCAGTGGTTTCTCACTGCCTCACTTCCTTAGAGCACCAACTGGTGAAGAACCTGAATAACAAGAGTCTCAGCTGCTGCAGTCTGTAGCCCCTTGTGTCCTGGTGTCCTCTCATCAGTCACCTTACATGATCACTCAGTTTGTGAGAGCGGAATGATGTACATGTCATATGCCACACATTTCTTAATGGATTTAACTGAACTTCAGGGGATGTTCACTTTTTTTCCTAACCAACTTAGCTTATATTTTTCAAAATTTTTTTCTCTGATATGCCTGAGGTATCATTTTGCCTTCATGCTGTGATGGCAGCCAGCAATAGTGAATACAGATGTCTTCATATTAAGGTCACCTAAGACACAGTCCTCACACTCAGGTGATTTCTAATCCACTCATTGTGAGACTCCCAGCACTGACTGGTTGAATCTCTGTTGCATTAGGTCAGTCATTTTAAAGAGGCTGTCCTTTAAAGCCACTTTATGTTAAATATTTTGTCATCATTTTGTAGAAATCTGTTTTTATTTTGACATTGAAGAGTTTTTTTTTGTAAATCTTGTTGCCAGAGAAGCCAAATGATGAATTTGTAAAAGCAACAACAATGACAACACATGAAAGAGGTGAGCACTGGATTTTATGCCATACATAATACATACTGTTATGTATGTCAAATTCTCTCTTTGAACCTCTGTTTATGCTACCTGCTACTTTTTAAACACATTCTTTAGATTATAGATGAAGGTGTACAGAAGTGCTTTAAAATAACAACACAGTGATTTATAGTATACAATTAAGATTACCTTGACAACTGCTTATTATTAGTTTATTCCAGCTGTTCATTTCCAAGAGTAAAACAAAATCACATTAGATTGAATTAATTAGGATTGAACAATTACTGGAAACCAAAAACAAGAAAACAAAAACTTTTAATTACCTTTTGAAGTAAAAAACAAACAAAAAACAACCAGAGAACAGTAAAAATAATACATTTTACATAGAAAAAAAAACAACAAAAAAAAAAACATCTCAAAATCAAAATAAGAAACAATCTGAAACTACATTGATAAAAACAGCATTTTATTGAATAGATCACACACCTATGAAGAACTGCACTTGTAACTTTTTTTGACAGCTTTACAAATAAAAATCTTTCTTCAAGCATAAGTTTATGTATCATCGTAATCACACTGTGCATTCTGCACTGGAATGACAGCTCAGTATTGCAGCAGAATCTAGAATTTATTTCCAGATTTGCTCTGCAGTGCATCAGATGACGAGGGGTTTCTCGTCATTCCTCAAAGATCAACCATAATTTCAAAAGTGTTTTATGAGGTCATGTTTATGGATTTCATGTCAGACACACTGACACATGATCAGGTTAACTCACAGTAATGTGGGCTGCTGCTGTCATATTAATGAGGATCCTTCATGCAGCAGCTTTAACAGCAGAGAAGACAAATCGCTTATAGTTTGGAATATTGCTTAGATCAAAGCTACACAAAGAAAAAACTAAGGAGCTGTTTATAACATTCCTGTCATGGTAAGTGATTATGTGCAGCAAATTTCCATGTTGTACAAAGCTTAACTCCCAAGAGTATTTTGATTATTCGATGTGTAGAGTCTTTTAGACAGCAAATATTGTGTAATCAATATTATTCTCACCTAAAGTGTATTGATTCTTCAAGCAAGCATATGACGGCCATTACTGATGCACACGACCCAAAGAGCTAACGCATTAGGACTTCTTTGTTTCTCAATGGACGTGACGGAGACACAACAATGTCATCAGAATCATCAGATTCAACTACAGCATCCGCATCAACCTCTGCTGAGAAAAGAAGTTCCTGTTGAGCTGTAATGGAACAGACAAGGTTTTAAAGTTCTATCTGCTCAAACCCAACTGTTATTAATAATATGTTCATCCATGTGTCAACAAATCAGTGAAATGGAGGAATCTTTTTTTCTCCACCCTCTTACCTTGTGCTTGTTGTCTGCTGGAGACAAGATGAAGGTCTTCTTCCTTCTCTGAATTTTTACTAAGAGATGCAGAACCTGACAAAGAAATAATGATACAAAAATAACTGGTTATTTCTAAACTGTCACAGTAAATCCTCAGAGATGTGAGTGTGGATGCATTTTTAAAATAATTTTAGGTAAATAAAAAAAAAAAAACTGTACTATCCAATACAGAAATGCTTGAGACAGCAAGCAACTGGTGTTTGTACAAATACCAAGTATTTCTGATGAAAAAAGAGAACACAATGCATGGTCTCCTATATGCAGTAAGAAAAACTGCAATAACCTTGCTGCATAGTGTGTACACATTTTAATAGTTTTTGAAGCACTTTTTGTTTTATATTTTGTTTTTCAGTCTATGAGCATGACATATATTCACTTGCCCACTCTAGTCTGCAAAGTTAGCTAAATGTATGTTGTGAGGACATCTCTTGTCCACAGAACTTTGACTACAGACATTGCTCTGTTGCATACTCTGAGTTGTCAATTTTTTCTATTTCATGCACAATTTCCATAGCAGTCTCCAGAACATAAAATCCTTTTTTATTACCTTGTTTGGACTTTTAGTTTGCTGACTTGGTGCAGCCAGCCTCCCCAGAACAGACTGCACTGTTCACAACAGATTTCTTAACAATTTGCTGCATCTTCCAGCAAACACTGAAATACTTGAGCTTCCTCAAGCATAGAAGTGCAGACTGATCTTGTTCACAGATTTACTGTTCACAGTAAAGCCTGTAGTACAGGAACACGCTGAAGTATTTATTTTCATTCTTCCTATAAATGACTTATGAAAGTAAAGTTAAAATTAAGCTAAATTAAGAGTCTGTATGCTTAATGAACCAAACTTCAGCTTAAGTGTGGATCAGTGTTTAATGTCCTGGATCAATGTGAAGATGCATGTGAAAAGTCTTTTGAAATAACTTGTAATCAAAGTTCTTTATATCACAGAAACCTGGCATATTAGACGGCTCCTGTGGACACAGACTTTGGTGTTAAACCCTCAGTTTCAACTGAAGTCAATCATGCATCAAATGCAGAGGCAGGCTAAATATGAACAAAATATCCTCAACCCACTACTCTGCTCTGTGGAGCCATATGCTGATCACACCTCAGTGATTACAGCTAAGGGAATCAGGAGGTCCCTGAAGTCTCACAGGGTCATTCTGGACCATCCAGCAGCCACAGATCTTTCATCACTGGCTCACAGATCTGCTGAGCTCAGACATCAGTCTTTATCTCAGGCTGTCTGGTTGTGTAGGGTGAGTTCTAACAAGCACAGAGCCATCACTACCCATAAAGGCATCAGGGGAGTAATGAAGACCAGTTAGGAGGTTCAGATTTATGCTGATTTATACATCAGCATAAATCAAGACAAACTCCTGACTCTGGCTCATGTTGGCTGAGGAGGACTTACTGTTGAATCTCCACATGATTATTAACCACAATACAAACTACACTGAGGTGTGGGAGATTATTTTAACTGGAAAATGATTGAAAAATATGGTCATGGAAACAGAAGTAATGATTGACAATGAAATTATAGAAAACCCAAAATAGGTCCAAATAAAAGTACCTTCTAGAACAAACAGTTAAAAAGTTATGTTATACTCATCCTCTGGCTATAGATCATGCCATAACCACGGCTAGTTTGAGGGATTTATGAGAGAATATGCAAGATATTATCTTCATTTTCACTTTCTTCTTATCTGTCTCAAAGTACTGTTTTCTAGAAGGAAAGTGGTTCATTTAGATTTAGTATTGGAAACCTTCCAAATAAACTGTTTGCTAAATATTTGTCCTAAACTTTAACATGCTGACTGAAGAATGCAGAGTTTGAGGGAGAAATGTTTAGTTTTGACTCTAGAAGTGAGCCTTACAGCAAGAAAGTTAAAATCCTAGCTGAAATGGGGCTTTATGCGTGAAATTACTACTGGTTTTGTCCAACTGTTGATGATTGTAACCTGTAGATATAGGATCCTTACCTTTTCTCCTGGGAGAATCTGCTAAGCCAGCCCTTCCTGGTACCAGAG